ACTCGTCACGATTTGAGTCCAGTAGAAAAGGAACGTGTGCAATGGGCGGTCGACCACATGTTGGCCGCCAATATTATTTCCCCATCTAATTGCCCTTTCGGAGCTCACGTTCGTGCTTGTTAAGAAAAAGGACGGCAGTCGTAGGTTTTGTGTTGACTTCCGTAAGTTGAACAAAATTTCTGTGGCCGACGCGTACCCGCTCCCACGCATGGACGACTCCCTGGATGCCTTGTCTGGTGCTTGGTTTTTCTCCTCTCGACTTGTCATATTATTGGTTCTTTCAGTAAAGTCACGTAAATAGAAAACCAAAAATCTAAACAAATTTAAAAATAAAATAAAAATGATAAAATTAAATGAAAATAAAGAAATAAAAATAAAATAGCAAAAAAAACCACGACTTTTGATCGCAACACAAGTGTTCTTCATCAGGCGGAGTTGACTTGTCATCGGGGTTTTGGCAGCTTCCCCTTGATGAATCATCGAAGATTAAAAAAAACGCGTTCCGCACACCCCAGGGACTCGTCCAGTTTAATTGCCTTCCGATGGGCTTGAATTCAGCTCCGCCCACCTTTCAGCGATTCATGTAACTCGTCTTGACTGGCCTGCAGTGGGACTCTTGTCTCATTTATTTGGATGATGTCATTGTGTTCAGCCGCACTTTTGACGAACATCTCCAATGGCTGCGATCTGTTTTCGCTAGGATGCGCTCAGCCAATTTTAAATTTAAACCGGCGAAATGTCATTTGTTACAGAATTCAGTACGCTATTTGGGTCACATTGGCAGCGCTGAGGGCATAGCCACGGATCCATAGAAAACGGCTTGCATTCGCGATTGGCCGACCCCTAAATGTGTGGGTGATGTGCGCAGTTTCGTCGGGTTTGCGTTGTACTACTGCAGGTTTGTACCGCAATTTGCCACAGTCACCAAACCCTTGCTTGCCTTGACTGCTAAGAACCAGAGGTTCCGATGGGGACCAGAGGAAGAGGCTGCGATCCTAGCTCTTCGCGAACAATTGTCCGACGCGCCCACCCTCAAGTATCCTGATTTCTCGCTGCCATTTATTCTTGACACTGACGCTAGTGACACGGGCATAGGCGCCGTTTTGTCTCAAATTAAGAATGGGATTGAGAAAGTGGTCGCGTACGGCAGCCGTGTCCTCTCCCCCGCAGAACGTCGTTATTGTGTCACTCGAGGGAATTGTTGGCCATCGTTTATTTCATCCAACAATACAGCAAGGAGTTCGTTGTTTGCATGGATCACGCGGCCCTTCAGTATTTCTTGTAGGTTGAACAACCTTCCGGCCAACTTTCGCATTGGCTCGAAATTCTACAGGAATTCTCATTCCGCGTGATATATCGGAAAGCTACGCAACATTGTAATGCAAATGCTTTGTCCCGGTTGCCTGAATCGCCTCGTTGTCCATGTTCGTCGGGTATGGGCCATTGTAGACCCTCGACGTTGACATCAGCTACCGTCATGTCTCCATTTAATGACTCGGAGCCCACTGGGGCGGTTATGCCTGCCGATAGCGTTTTGTAGCTTATACGCTCTGCATGGGTGTACGAGCAGTCGAATGATGATTCTCTATGGGTCTTGCGGTGTCATGCAAAAAATTAACAGAAAACTCCCGTGTCGGTTGATGAGCCTCGATTGGTTCTTCATGATGACCTATTGATGTGAACAGAGGACATGTTGGACCGTTGCCGTGTTGTCGTCCCCACTGCTATTCGGGGTGACCTGATTTGCGCGGTGCACGAGGATAAATTGGTACACCTTGGTGTTCGGAAGAACTTACTGACACTGCAGCATGATTATTATTGGCCGGAGATTTACAAGGTGGTCCAAAGGTGTACGGAATGTGCGCACAGGAAACTGCCAAAGCGGAAGTCCCGTCCTCCGCTGCAATCCATTTCGGTTTCACGGATCAACGAATTGGTAGCGCTCGGTATCCTTGGGCCCTTTCCTGCCACTCCAAGAGGGAATAAATATATCTTCGTGGGGGTTGAGTATTTCTCCCGATGGCCCATAGCTTGGTTGCTGCCTGACCAGTCGGCGGCTTCCATTGCAGAGGCATTTTTGTACGGTTATGTAATGGACAAGGGAGCCCCTGAGCAGTTGCTCACTGACCAGGGGCGCAATTTCTCATCTAATCTGCTGCACAAGGTTTGCGACGCTTTAGGTACTAAGAAATTAGAACGTCGCCGTACCACCCCCAGACAGATGGGATGGTGGAGCGCCTGAATAGAACTCTGACCTCCATGCTTTGTCAGGCATGTTCAGAGTGTACTTGCCGCATATAGGATGGCCCCTCATACTTCCAATTGGTTTCGTCACTAGATAAGGAGAAATCCAAGTTGCCAGAGCATGTGAAAATTACCCTTCAACGCATTTCTACGGCTCGGGAGGCAGCCAGATTTAATGCCGCCAAAGCACAGGCAAACAATGAACGTATTGCGGGGAAACAGGATCATGTGCTACCATGGTTCATTGGTGACAGAGCATGGTTACATTGCCCGCAGGTGCTAGTTGGCACATCCCCTAAGCTGCATAAGCCCTGGTAAGGGCCCGTGGAAGTGTCGAGGTTAAACGGCCACAGTGTGTGCGTGTTCGGGTGGGCCGTCGCCGTTGGTTTGTCGATCCGTCTTGATTGAAGCCATTTTTTCCTCCGTGGATTGCCTCTCCATCTCCAACAATTGGTCTGCCGGTGTCTGGTGTGTCCGACGAGCCGGGGATTGTGCGTTCAGAGAGCGTGCATCAGAAGGATTATGTCGTGCCGCCCACAGCATCCGAGCCTGTGACCATGGACGGGCTTCGAAGCCTCGCCGGGATTGAGGTGCCTGTTGCTGCCGAGCCTGCTGCGCCTGTGCCTCCTGTGTTGCAGCCCGCATCTCCGGCTGTTCCGGTGGTGTGCACACCGCATGAGCAGGAGCGGAAGACCGTTCCTGTCGACGGAACGGCATCGCAAACTCGGTCCAAATGCTTGCGATTCCGTTGATTCCTTATTCTGGGTATTGCTCGGGAATGGCGGAGAGGTTGTGGTTGTTGTTGAGTTCTGTTCTTTTCCTCTGTCTTGTTCCCTTTCGTAATTTTCTCTTCTCTCCTTGTTCTCTCATATTTATGTATTAATTGTTCCTGCGCCTTTTAAGGAAAATAACTGGAGTCCTGCTTTTATAGCTCTTTATTGTTGTTCTTATCCTGCGCATGGGTGCACTTACCTGTTATCTGAGTATTAGCTGGGATGGCTACGTTTTTTTTTTATTACGGGGGGTGATGTAATGACATGATGACACCAGCTGGTGAGAAAAGGGAAGCACGGGTATAGGCACCGCTAAAACAGCATCCAATTTGGAAGGGAGAGGTATCTGGGCCAAAGGTAATGGGCGGGGATGGCCGGGATGCTCCGGGATCCCGCTCCAAGGTTCCATGATAGGGTGTGGCCAGAGGCGGAGCCTAGCCGCGCCTGCGGTGATATAAGCGGGGGCAGAGGAGGACTCGGGGTCGGTGTGTGGAATCTTGGGTCCGGACTGCGTCGCTGCTAGCTGTCATCTCTCTCCATCGTCCGGCCACGTGGAAGATCTCCTGCGGGGTTCCATCACCCTTCCCGGCACGCCGCCAGCTAGCAGCGGAGCCGAGAGTGGACGGGTGGAACCACGACGTGTGATCGACCCGGTGTGTAGCCAGTAGAGACGCTAACATCTAAGTGTTGTACTCAGAATGAGAAGATAAGGTTGACCTGTGTTGTGCCCATGTGTGAATAAAGTACCCTCTACACGACGTTTTGCGGAAGTCGCTCATTAGAAAGACATTGTACAAACGGTGACCTTTTTTTCGCCTTTAACGCCACTAAAACTGGTGCGCACGAGTAAAATAGCGGCGCGAGGGGGACTGGGAAAATATTAAAGCGCCGACATCAGCAGCACGCGTGCAAAGAGCAGCCACCTGCACGGGGAAGGTGGTTGTTGTGGTGGTGTGACTTTGTGATGCGCATCGCTTCTAGTGTCGCAGCCATGTAAAACAGCCAATGGGCATGCGATTAGCACAGGAAGGAGCGGTAGTGGCTAATAAATAAAAAAAATCCTCTAGCGCGTGGAGGAAGGGGCGTTGGTGGGGGGGGGGGAGTCAAAATTTTTTTACAGGGACTCCTCTACTTACAAAAGAGTTAGGTTCCAGAGGTATGTTCTTAAGTCGATTTGTTCATAAGTCCAACTTTACTCCTGTCGATTCCAAACATGTTGTACGGCATGTACACTAAACACGTGGAATGGCTTTAAAGGTGGTATAATCTCCTATAGATGTAGATGCCACTGGTTCCTCATGTTCTGCAGATGTAGATGCCACCACCACCATCTATTGCGTGGCGGTTTAACTTACGACTCTTGATCCGAACAGGCAACTGGACATACGGACAGGTTTGGTCGTATCTGAAGTTTGTAAGTCGAAGTATTGGAGTCCCCGTAATAATATTTAACAATAATGCGCGGGATTTTTATTATAATAAATGAATGCTGCCAAACTTCTGGATCGCGGTTGGTGATGGTGATGTCTTACCAAGGCTTTAATCACATCGCGTAATTGTACGACTGCATTCATTATGATTAATTCAAAAGTGCAGCAATATGAAAACTTTACACGTAACGCAACATCACTAACATGGTTAACGCAGAGCATTCTTATTGACTTGTCTTCATTTCCAATGTACCGATAACGTGCTGTGCACTATTAAAATACCAATTTGCCTATATCACGATCATAGACCTTTGTAACTGTTCTCTACATTTATGCATGTCTAATGTTAACCCAAAACATGCTTCCAATGCAGATGTAATGAGTACACCGACGGACACCGACCTGCTGGATAGGCTTCGCTGCATCAGTCATAAGCCAATCAGGATAAGTGGGTTCATCTGGACCAAAGTTCATGGGCGGAGCTCAAGGGTGCTCGTGGGAACTATCGGGAAGGTTCTAGAAATAAATAAGTAAATAAAGACGCCAGTCAACGTTCGTCGTAGAAGTGTTTTATTACACACACATTATGGTAAAATATTTACATTAATTATCACCGCTTTCGAGTGTGGTGTGTTTTTTTTTTGGGGAGGGGGGGGGGGGAATTTCCACCGAATATGGACAACACAACACATGCCCAACGAAAATTAGAAGTGGAAAACGCGTGGCGTGATTCCGCGACGCATGCTAATGAGCTGGTGACGTCACAGGGGTCACGGCTATGTTGTGCTGCAGATTCCAATGAACTGCAAAAGCGACACTTTTGAGCTAATAATAAGAGGTTTGCTCGAAAAAAGAAGTGGGAAACACGGCCTTCTAATTCGTCGAATTAAAAAAAAACATTTTGAAACCAAATAGATTCCGAATGAAAGTCAGATTCCTTCTTCTATATTTTTTAATCAATAACCAAAACCTTTAGCTGCTAAAAACCCAATTAATGCCATTGCACTGACTGTGCCTACAATTCACATTTACTGAGTACTTAAATTTGTTTTTAACATATTTGCTGAGCACAGGCCTAAAGGCTCAAAACTACCAAAAGGCCAAGTGGCGAATGGGATGTGTGAAAATACGTTAATTTCCATGTGGAGTGACGGATGTGTATTGTATTGGTGTATTGTCTGCCTATCTTACGTTCTCCACGACTCGAATGATGACGAGTCGAGGGGCACAGGTTGATAAGCCACGGTGCCACCCACCATTGTAAGCTGCATTTGTCGGGGAGGCTGACCCCCGTCCCCTCGCTCATGTGGGATCCACTGCTCCCCTCTTCCGTGTCCTGGGGTGGTGTTACTGCTCACCGACGCGCGGGACCCGGGGTCGGACGGCAGGGGCGTCACTCGTACACGCGCAGCCGATTGGAGGAGGTGCCCCGGAGCAGGTTTAAAGGGCTGTGTGAACAACCTCGCGGGTACGCCGCCCGTGCGCCTCTCGCACACGTTAACCACGAGCTACGCCGTTATAATCTCGCGCACACGTTAAGCAGAAGCGGCAGAGGCGGCACTGGTCCCGTGTGGTATGAGCCCGACCTGTTCACTCTCTGAGGCCAAATTAAAATGAAAGAAACCGGTGCAGGCATGCCAATATTAATAGGTGTATACTAACAGCTCCTGCTTTCACAGACTCAAAGGCTACACAGCTGGAGAACATTGTTGTGAGCGTGTGAGTTTTATCCCGTGTGTAATGGTGTGTCGAGGGTGACATGGCAGCGTCATCGCCGCTTGTTGTAGAGGCTTGCGATTTGATTCCTACAGGCCGCACTGGTTAATACTGCAGATGTATCAACCACAGATACGTGCCATATGTCTGCTTCACAGTGAGCGTTACATTTTGGTGAAGGGTTGACACTTTATCGATCTGGGATCGAGACCCAAGTAAAACTGAACTGTCTCTGAAGAAGGCAACGAAACGGATGAAGATCAACACGGTGCATTACACACAAACATGGCAAGGGGGAAAGACAAACATCCCTGGGTGTTTTTTTCTCACCCGGGATTTATTTTGTGTGTACAGGAGATGTTCCCACTGCCTCCATGTGTAGACTGCGTCGCATCACATTCACCTGAAATCGCAGTCCCAATAGCTACGCACACGTGGACAGCAACGTAGCAATCCGTCACTTCCACGTCGCCACTGGTGCAAATGAGACTGCTCCTGTGAGTCAGTGGGTCTCTGTGTGAGTCTGTGGATTTCTGTGAGTCTGCGTGCCTGTATGAGTCTAGAGGTCTATATGTGAGTATAGAGGTCTATATGAGTCTAAATGTCTCTGCGAGTCTAGAGATGTCTATGTGAGCCTAGAGGTATATATGTGAGTCTAGAGGTCTCTATATGAGTCTAGAGGTCTTGATATTATAAGAGTGTAGTGGTCTTAATGTGAGCCTAAGGCCAGATGGTGGGATATTGTGAGGACAGATCGTGGAGGTCGCTTGTCGACTCTCAGGAGCTGCGGAGGGGAGACAGCGTTGGTGAGGAGGTGTCCTGGTACAGCATCAACAGCTTTGGCCACGATGACGCCTTCATCTTCATCGTTGGTCTCGTGAGGAAGAGACGGAGGCGGCTGAGCGGGGTTTACCCAGCCATCCACAGGAGGATGTTGAAGAGGAACGTGGTCAGAGCGAGGGGCAGAGACGCTCCGCAGTAGAGACAGAGCAGCACGCCGAGAGAGACTCCGCAGAGCACGCTGCGCTTATCTCGGATGCACGCCTTGATGAATGCGCAAAACTGCAATGAGATAAAGACAAAAAGACACAGACCCCCGTATAGCCTTAACAGACTGTTGGGGCAAGTGCTGTTAGCGAGTAGAACCTATGAAGGCCGGAATGGCACACGAGGGGGTGTGTGGCCAGCACCATGTTCGGCCGCCTTTGTCTCCCCAGTAGCGACGATTACACACCGCGCCAGGTACTCATTTGAGGCTGAGTCGACCGAGCTGAGACCCAGGACTGGTTCAGATATTCGTCTTCCTTATTGGTCGTTAGCGGAAATCGAACACGGGTGGCCTTGTTCGATTAGAACGGTTGGCTACGTACTGTGCGAAAGAAGCTCAACATACATATACACAAACGTGGCGTAGCTCGCTAACCACTGCACCACCGTTTAAACCTTTTGAGCTATCATTCGTTGAGGGGACAGAAATGTGGCTCTGATCTTGGCGTCCCGTTATTCCTTCATTATATGTCCTTTCCATACAAGGAGGCCTGAGACACTTGTCAAAGGTGTCGAATATGGTCACATTATCATTATTATTAAATCCAGAACATGTACTTTCCATAGACCGAGCGTGATGTTCATTGCATCCATGCGAATTGTTTAAGTTCCAGAGTAAAATGTTTGCATACTTGGCAGTACGCGTTTGCTATGCATGTGGTCATCGACACCCTAGACACCCTTGCAATCGAGATTTTCCATCTCCAAAGGGCTTGTCTAGATGAAACACGTTACACATGAACCTATAACCACCGGCCAGGCGGCTCGGTGATAGAATGAGCGGTTCCTCATCAGAAGCTTGTGAGTTCAAATCCTGGTTGAGAGTTGGGGGTTCGGGGGAGCGGGGTTGACTCATCCTATCATCAAAATGTGTACCACTATGTGGTGAAGTCTAAGGTGGTTGTCCTATGGATAGACTCGCCCCCCCTCCATCATCCCAGGCAGGTGGAATTCCCACTAATTGTTCAGGGCTGTAAACGGATACGCACTAATGCATCTCATTCGTTCAGAACATCATTGTAAATACATTTGTCAGTCAACTTTTATCACTGGAAATGTAATTAATGTAGCATTGCGTTATCTTTGCTTTATTTATTCTGGAACACGGTTGCTTTTGCTCTGATTTCTATTTTCCTCATTCTTGTACTTCGTTTTTTGTAACGTTGTGGCATTTGCCACTTTGGTGAACCCTGGTGACTCTTGCGATGAAAACTCATCCTGCTCTCTCTCTCAAGTTCTCACCGAGATAAAACAAAAAATATTGGAGCTTGACGAACGCCCCACGCAGTTTGTGTTTGTATGAATGACGTCACAGAGCGAAAGTGCCCGCGTGCGTGCTAGCACCTGCTCGGTCTGGTCGCTCCACGCCGATCCGTAGCGGCAATGCGTGGCAAAGTGCTCGCAGTTGTTCCACAACAGCGAGTAGACGCAATCGCCGCGAAAGTTCTCGGCTAGACTTGCGACCTCCTCCGCGGGCAAAGGGCGGCTGCGCTCCTTCTTGAGCACGGCTCGATCGCCGCCACCGCCGCCGCCGCCGCTCTTCCCGCCGTTCTCCTCGTGCATCTCCGCGAAGTCGGTGGCGTTCACCAGCACGGTCGGTGCCCCGTACACGAAGTCGTCGTAGGCGTCGATGCGGACCGTGCCGTTACGGGCCACGGAGCCCAGCACGAGGCGCGTGTTGGTCACGACGCTCCGGACGCGCCGCGTATCGCTCGTCAGCAGCGGCAGCACGTCGGGCAAGAAGTGCGCGACCCTCTGCTCGCCCAGGTAGATGCCCACGTGCGTGAAGAGCGTGCGTGGCACCTGCAAGAGGTCTCCACGCCGGTGCGCGCAGTGGCTCCGCTCTGCCGCCGCCCCCGCCGCCGCCGTGGCGTCTTCGCGCGGAATGACGTTTCGGGACAAGGCCTGCCTCGGGCGGCTCGCAGCACCCCGCGTGGAGTGGGAGTCTCCTCCCGGCGACTCGGCTCCTTCATAATTGCGGGACGCACCGCCCTGCACAATGCTGCTCCTTTGCATGCCGACTTTGTGCGCTCCTCGCCAGTGATGAATGGGAGTTGTGCTCGTGAATAGCCGCGTTTTATTCTCACGTAGCAAGTGAATCAAAGCAGGGGATTGGATGGGAGATTAGGGGAGAGGGTGTGTTGCGCAATACACTCGGGGGTTGGCGACAAGGTTGAGGATTGAGCTGCGAACGCCGCTGTTACTCCCACTGTTTGTTGGCGAAGTGGGACCGGAGTCGGTGCAGAACGTTACGGGATATTCCAGGCTAATGTTTGCGGATGTTTCAACCGTAGCAAAGGTGATATAAGATTGTTTATTTTCGCACATAGTGGTACTTTAGCACCAGAATTATGTGCAAATGAGGTAATATCCCTTGCCGATACAGCTGACTCGATTCATTCCTAACTGAAACAAAATCCGCCGTTTAAGCACGCCATCCATGGGACCCAAAAACTCTACCACGCGTGTGTCGAGGATATTTTGCCTTTCACATTCTCCCACGAGCAGAATAGTACCACTGCTCCATCATCGTTTCTCGGGGCCAGCTTACATTCTGAAATATAATTGCCACTTAACACAACTCGCAAACCGCACTCATTCCATCGCCTTTCTCCTTTGAGTGCCCGCATTGTCATCCGTATGAATAGTTCACTTTCGCGAAGTTGTATAGTCGCAAAGACACCGTTGGAGTTGCATCTGTGTTCATGTGCCATGCATTGAGTTGGACCGAGAACTGGTACCGTTATTGTGAACTTTATTTAAAATATTTAGGCAAGGCTCACTGAGCTATGGTAGCTCTTTTTCAGAAGCGACCTGGCCACAACTGATAGCTCAACGAAAGTGGTTTATAAAGTGGAAATGTACTACAGGCAAATACTCTAAACGCATGTTTCTATATGTGGAGGAAAAAACCGGAGGACCCGAAGAACAATCCACGCGGACACGGGGAGAGAGAGAGACATGCAAACTCCAAATATACAGCAGGCGTCAGGATTGGGATCAAACCCACGAACACCTGCATACCAGGCGAGGTAGCTAACATCTCGCCACCGTGGCGCCCATGACCGTAAACGGCATAGTTTTGATATATAGACATAGGCCGATCGGGAAATATGTTTGGGTTTGGAGCGCAGTGGACGAGGTGGCAACCGGGGCTGTGGGGGGCTGCAACCCCCCTCTGTGCACACGCAAGGACCTCTCACGAGGGGCCAACACTGGCGTGAAACCAGCAACAACTTCAATCGTGCGATCCTATGTGGAACACGTTTCAGTCAAATGAACACAGAAGTTCACTCACGTGATTACTTGAAGTGGGTACTGTGAAAGGTGGCAGTGCTGTGGTACGACAACATACGATTCGGCAATATAATAATCACGTCAGCTTAGGCAGTTACAAAACGTACTTTTGGAATTCCTCACCGTGTATTTAAAGCCACGACAATTCCTCAATACGGTGGATTTACACGATTAACCTAAGCTTGTGCAGGGGCTCAGGTCCACAGGAATGCTGGACTTGGGCAAAAAGTGATCCGCCTTAATTGGGCTTTTTCTCTCGACTGCCGCGATGTAACATCCACCACAACTCGCATCTCAAACTCCATCGGGAGACAGATGCGGCATTCGGAGCTTCGTTATTTTACTTTCCAAAGAGTCCTCAATTCCATCGATACTTCAATTGTAGTGTGCACAGTTTTATTCAGGGACTGTGTGTTGCGTTGATGTGATCTGGGACTGTTGTTGCTGTTGTTTTGCTGCTTTTTCCAAGTTTGGGAATTAATGTACTTAAGTAATTTAAACGTTTCTGTTATTGCTTAAGAGGCGCCACGCTGGCGAGATGTTAACTACTTCGCCGAGTATACAGGTGGTCGTGGGTTCGATCCCGACCCTAACCGTGACGCTGATTTATTTGGAGTTTGCATGTTCCCACGTGGTCGCGTGGATGTTTTTCTCCGGGTCCTCGTGTTTCTCCCTCCAAATTTAGAAACGTGCGTTTAGAGTATTTGGCTGCTGTAAATTTCCACATGATAAGCCTCTACGTTGAGCTATCACTTGTCACCAGGCAGTTTCTGAAAAAGAGCTATATAGCTTAGTGGGCCTTACCTGGTAAAATACAAATAGTTTAATGTATTTTTGATTTAAAGCTTTCGTGACTGCAGTAATTCATATTCTTAGTTTTTTCGGTAAAGTCACGTTGAAGAGAAACAACAAAATAACAAAATATATATAAAACAATAAAAAATTCTCACGACGTTTCGACCATAACTCAAACGGTCATCATCAGGTGTGTCGGTTTGCATAAATTTATTTTGAAAACGGCATATTTATTTATATATATAAAAATAACGTTTGCGTCACGCGCAACGATGGCAGTTTGCCAGGACTAGTCCATCTATTTTTTGAAAAGAGGAGGGGGGAGACGAAATTTGTTTTTATGTATGCTGTCTGAAAGGCACTGTAAGCGTGAACAATCAATCAAGAACTGAAATGATTTATCAAATCTTTCCAATGATTGCTAAGATAGAATCCATCTTCTCGGTTGAAATTGTCTCTGTGTTTGTATATGTGGATAGCCTCATGAACGAATCTCTCATGGAAGCCAGATGGCTTACAAAGAACCTCCGTCTTGGAAAAGTCAATGGCATGTGAGCCTACTGAATTAGAACAATGATCTGCTACGGCCGAGGTGTTGGTCCTACCGTGTTTAAGGTCTGCTTTATGTTCACGAATGCGGTCCGAGATATGGCGTTTGGTTTCTCCAATGTAACTACTACCACAGAGGCAACTTAGTTTGTAGACACCAGGGTATTGTATGTCCGGAATCACATCTTTTACAGACGGAACCAGATCACGGATTTTATGTAATGTGTTGAAACGGACCTGGATCTTGTGTTTATTCAAGATTTTGGAGATCTTTTTTGTGATCCCAGCAATGTAGGGTAAAGTGATGGTTTTGAAAGGCTCCTCAAGAGGGTTCTTCTTCATGGTTTGAGTGATAGCTTTGCGGATTGTATAGTCGGAGTAACCATTAGCCCTAAGAGCTTGGTGTACGTGCTTGAGTTCACTGCTTATGTGTTCCTGGTCGGATATGCATTGGGCTCTATGATACAGAGTCTTGATGAGAGAATTCTTCTGTGATGGATGGTGGTGGGAATCCGGTTTCAGATAAGCATCCGTATGGGTAGCTTTCCTGTAGACAGAGTGGCTCATTGAACCATCAGGTCTCTTTTTAATTAGGACATCCAAAAAAGGTATCATGCCATCTATTTCGACTTCCATGGTAAATCTGATGGCTGGGTGTATGGAATTGATGTGGTCGAAGAATTTGTCTAGAGCAGGCCGGCCATGTGGCCAGATGACACTTTTGTCATCTGGCCACATGGCCGGCCTGCTCTAGACAAATTCTTCGACCACATCAATTCCATACACCCAGCCATCAGATTTACCATGGAAGTCGAAATAGATGGCATGATACCTTTTTTGGATGTCCTAATTAAAAAGAGACCTGATGGTTCAATGAGCCACTCTGTCTACAGGAAAGCTACCCATACGGATGCTTATCTGAAACCGGATTCCCACCACCATCCATCACAGAAGAATTCTCTCATCAAGACTCTGTATCATAGAGCCCAATGCATATCCGACCAGGAACACATAAGCAGTGAACTCAAGCACGTACACCAAGCTCTTAGGGCTAATGGTTACTCCGACTATACAATCCGCAAAGCTATCACTCAAACCATGAAGAAGAACCCTCTTGAGGAGCCTTTCAAAACCATCACTTTACCCTACATTGCTGGGATCACAAAAAAGATCTCCAAAATCTTGAATAAACACAAGATCCAGGTCCGTTTCAACACATTACATAAAATCCGTGATCTGGTTCCGTCTGTAAAAGATGTGATTCCGGACATACAATACCCTGGTGTCTACAAACTAAGTTGCCTCTGTGGTAGTAGTTACATTGGAGAAACCAAACGCCATATCTCGGACCGCATTCGTGAACATAAAGCAGACCTTAAACACGGTAGGACCAACACCTCGGCCGTAGCAGATCATTGTTCTAATTCAGTAGGCTCACATGCCATTGACTTTTCCAAGACGGAGGTTCTTTGTAAGCCATCTGGCTTCCATGAGAGATTCGTTCATGAGGCTATCCACATATACAAACACAGAGACAATTTCAACCGAGAAGATGGATTCTATCTTAGCAATCATTGGAAAGATTTGATAAATCATTTCAGTTCTTGATTGATTGTTCACGCTTACAGTGCCTTTCAGACAGCATACATAAAAACAAATTTCGTCTCCCCCCTCCTCTTTTCAAAAAATAGATGGACTAGTCCTGGCAAACTGCCATCGTTGCGCGTGACGCAAACGTTATTTTTATATATATAAATAAATATGCCGTTTTCAAAATAAATTTATGCAAACCGACACACCTGATGATGACCGTTTGAGTTATGGTCGAAACGTCGTGAGAATTTTTTATTGTTTTATATATATTTTGTTATTTTGTTGTTTCTCTTCAACGTGACTTTACCGAAAAAACTAAGTTTAATGTATGTTCACTGATTTGCTTACATTTCCTACACTTTGCACTCCTATCGTGTTTCTGTATTGTTTGTGGTTGTAACTTTCTGAACCGCCCCTATCGGAAATCTGTAAAAAAGCGCTTCACACCTCATCGGATTTCTGCAGGAAAAATAATTAGTCTGATTCTGAAGGCGAATGGCTGAAGGATAGCGTTCTTATAGCATCAGGGCAGCCTAAAGTGCCGTTGCAGCTTAAACTTCACAACACGTAGGTATTCACAACCAATATAATTCTTAGGATTGTTAGGCGACAATGATCTGGCCAAATGTCTGTCGTCAAACCCTCCACCACTGAATATAGCCAAACCATTTTCATTGCCACGTGTACTATTTAAATACGGGTGGTTTGTGACGAACGTTTGTAAAGATCATAACGTGACTTAACCCATGAATCAGTGCTGCCTCTTCTTAAACCTCGTTGGAGAAGTGACACATTAGATTCAACTCATTATTCTGTTGTCAACCACTCGTGCCTGCCGAAGGTGGGAAACCCCTGCGGAGCCGCGTCCAATGCGACACAGACAGCGATTCTGATGACGTTACGAAGCTCCCTCCCACCCCCACCCCAACTATTTCCATGCGATTTGAACAGTCGAGTTCTGAACTGGACTGTGCTCAGCGTGGCGGCGAGCTCAGTATTGGGTCGCCTGTCGGCGTCTCGTGGTGACCGCTACGCACCGACCAGAAGAAAACGACTTCCGATGATGAATTAACGAGTCTGTCTCATCAGCAGTCACGCACGCGCTCGCAACAATTCTGGCGAACCGTCACGTGCTTATGGCAATCAGATGTTCGTTGCAACAAATGACACTCGTTAGACATCGGTTCTAGCTCGATGCCAAACTATATAATTAAGATCACATGGGTGGTTGAGAACTTGGTGGGAGTGGTGGTAAGAAGAAGTACTTTAGGTGAAAGCCTTTAGGCAAGTTCCAACTCTTTGCCAATCTTTATGCCAACTCAATAACTCATTCATCCTGAGTAACGAAGTCTTCATGCTTCTGGCAGTTTTCCACTTCCCCTTCCCCCACGACTAAAAACTGGGCCCTTCTTGGCGTGCCACTGCCTTTCATTTAGGCCCATTCATCAATCAAGCCACTTCAGTATTATTCTCTCCTCCCAGCTTCCTTTACATTGAACACAGTGCTTTGTTTGCAGGGTTTGGTTGAGGATTCACCAGTGAATGTTTGCTCTCGCATTCTTACAAAGTTAGGATGCACAAGTAATATATATACTCATAATTCATAGCTTATGATACGCTAATGAAACGTGACATTAATTAAGCATCTTTTGGGGGGTTTTAGCAGCATCTACATTTTTTTACAGATTTAAATATTGCTTAAGTTTACTCGCATTAAGTGCGTGGGACAGAGGTCAAAGTGCTGCCGTGTTCCCTTCCAGACGCCTGCTTCTCCTGTATTAAAACTAGGTACAGCTCACTGAGCTATATCGCGCATTTTCAGAAGCGACCTGGCCACAAGTGATAGCTCAACGAAGTAGCTTGTCATGTGGAAATGTATAGCAGTGAAATACTCTAAACGCATGTTTCTAAATGTTGAGGGGAAAACCGGAGGACCCTGAGAAAATCCACGTGACCACGGAGAGACACGCAAACTCCAAATAACACACGCAGGGTCGGGACCGAAACCACGACCTCCTGTATACCAGGTGAGGTAGTTAACATCGCACAATCGTGGTGCCCCAATTTCCACGAAATACCCAGCATCCATCTCAGACACTCAAGCTCAAATTCCTAATTATTTTCGAGCTGCTCAGTTAGGGTCTAGCTCTGTGGCCCACACAGTAGCACAGATATATAATGCTGTAGACTCCCAATACCCGCATCTTTATGCTTGGATTAATTTCTTCCAAAGTTGTTTCCAGAGCACATGATAAACATGCCCTGGTAAAGCAATGCACCTCTTCACCGTCTCACATTATAGGCACGACCACCTCAACCTTCTCTACTCCTACCGTGAATTGCAATCCTACTGCAGTCGCCCCGTTTCCGCCGCAAACAACTTTCTTGGAAAAGCGTGCAACATCAGACCACAATGCCTGAAGACCGCCAATACTCCTGGGGTTTCGACTGTGCCAACCCCATTCACAGTTATCTTGAACACATATTCAAGACATTAAAAGTGGGAGCCAAAATACAACTATCATGGAACCCTGTCATGACATCGCATTGTTAATGTGCACATTTTTATTGGTACACAGCAAGGCCGTAGCCACGGAGTCAACATTGGGGGGGACCAAATCTTCCTGGGGGTCCCAACCCAGAAAAATATCTAAATTTGAAAACGAATTTCCTGCCTAAAATATGAAAAATTCACTCACACATGGGATGGACTTTTTATTTAATTTTTCACAATGTCCAATAGTGTATTGTATTACATTGCTCTGTTTTTACTTTTTTACTATTTCTTGATTCATGTAATGGCATAGATTAGGGATTAATAAAGTGCAACCATAACCACAATCATATAAACATAAATCTATGCATTGATTTATATGAAGACAAGTCCAGATATTGTGGCAAAGGTTTAGCAAATTATTGTTTTTATATACATAGCATAGCATTTTTCTAATATATTGGGGGGGACATTTTCAGCATATTTGAATATGGGGGGGGGGGGGGGGGATGTGTGTCCCCCCAATATATTACAATTACGGCCTTGGTACACAGGCCTGAATCTCACTACACACGTTTTCAGGCAGCCATAATTGTTTTTCTCTGGATGTCATAGCCCAACAGTTCACAGACCCTCCTGCTGTCAAGTCACAGGCTTGCTCAGTCTACAAGGCAAATCCAAACATCCTCCCCATACTCCCAACTGTTCTCTAACTTGAACAATCTGATCACTACAGCCCCTCACTGATCAAAATATACAAAGATTTTCCCTTAAGTATCTTTAAGATTATTTATCTAGTTAATCAGCATTCTAGTAAATAACACGTAGGCTTTCGCGACCACGTTTTATTTACATGACAAACCGTATATTTACGTGATCTAACCCAAAAAAAACCCTTTATGGATATTGGTCATGAAAGCTTACTACGTGTTATATTGTAAAGCTATATAATTGTGTTGGATGCAATTCGGCAAACCCATAGTCAAGGCCACCTCAATCTTTCACGTTTGCTTTAAGTCGAGAGGCCGAGTACAGAAAATGATCGTAAAGTCTGGCAGGCAGCGATTGTCGCAAGATCTGTCGTACAGCAAGACAAAACGTAAAACATTTAAAAGTGAATACGGGCGCATGAGAGATGGCAACGCTGTGGGCATAGCAGCAGTTGCGAGGGACGATGTCACCACTGACACTGCACCAGCCTGGCAATTGTCAGGAAAGCAAAACCCATATGGCTGGCATGGCGTTATCGCTCCATGCTATTCAGCTGAATTGTGGATTAGGTATGTTTTATTAACGTTTATATTTGGTAATGCTTTTAAATATTATATTGATATCAATTACGCTACATTATGGTCACTCCATTTTGTTTTACATTGACAATGGACACTGAGTGGTCCGTACCGCCTCAAAGTTATTTCCCGAGTTATCTTAACTCCCTCAAGGAATTGTAATTTACAAGTCTTAGCTTAAGCCATTTCTATAATTGCATAAGTTATTCTGTACTCAGGCCCCAGGGCTGTACGTGCAAGACAGATGACCCATAGACACCGTGATAGAGACTACAGTCCGTGAGTAGGCAAGCGATTCAGAAGTTTAAGAAGTAATTTGTTTTATTGTTGCGGGAATTGGGACACCAGATCCTCGAGTGCAGTGCTTCTCAAGCTTATTCCACGGCACTCACGTTCGAGCTTGCTCAATCTTCACAACACACCGAACCAAACAAGTCACTGTGGGCCCGAGTGCATGGGTGGGAAAGCGCTGTAGCGGAGAGAGAATTCAGAATCCCTGGCTTTTAATCTCATCAGAAATCTTTGACAGAAATGTGCGCAACTGCGCGTCTCCGTGTCTGAGTATATTCCTGTCCGTCTCTTTGTATCTCCATGTCTTGGTGAGTGTATTCATCTGTTTTCGTATCTATGAGTCTCCATGCTCTGCATTTGTGTCTCCGTGTCTGCAAGTATATTTGTATCGGTGTGTCGATGTATGAAAGTGTCTCTCTCTGCGTCTTGCTGTCTTTGTGTCTGTGTGTGGGTATATTTATGTCTGTGTGTGGGTGTATTCAAGTCTTTGTGCATCTCCGTGTCTCTGCATGTCTGTGTCTTCATGCCTGTCTCGTTTGTCTCTGCATCACTGTCCATTTCCGTGTATACGTGCTTCCGTATGTCTCGTGGGTGAGTATTCACGCATGTGTCTATATCTTTGCGTGCGACTCCACGTATTTGTCTCCACGTCTGTGTGCGTCTCCGTGTCTGCACAATTGCGCATGCACAACCAAAGGGAATGAGAGGTTGAGAGGTCTGGGGGTGGAGGATGACAGCTGTCTGTTGCACTCTGCCACTACTAATGGGGGAGGCGGGAGTGTAGGAGTGGGGGCTTGAGGTTCTTTCCCTTTCTTTAATTCCAAAAACAGCGTGAAACCATAGCACACCGATTGTAAATCAATGCTCGTGTACTAACGTGTCTTCGTTTACCAGTGTTACTTTGTTTTGTGTTAGTTAGCTCTATATGGCGCCTTGAGACATTGTGAAGGTTCGTAATAAGTGCAAATGATTATGCTATAGAATGGTGTATATATATACGTTTCTGAGAATTCAAGTTTCAGTGTAGAGCTGTATAGATAGATTTGCCCCTGCTCGGGTTCAGCTCAGACAGTCTGGGAAATGGCATCTGTGTTCTGGTGGCAGGAATTGATTGCATGACATTTCGAACCCGTGTCGTATTGAACTTTATTCCTGTGAACTGCACAGTTTTGATAGGCCTAGACTGGCTGAGAATGTGTCTGGGTTTGGTCTGCAGAAAAGGTGGCAACCCTGTGTATGGGAAACAATACAAGAGGGAGAAATGTGGAAACAATACAAACGAGACAATACAATCCTGCAGAAAAAGAATAGATTCTTGATGTGCATCGTGAACTGATTATCGACAATTGCATCACTGCATGGAGGAGAGTGAATATTTTCATATCTCGCCTTTCTATCTCGTGACCACCTCATCTTTGAACTGTCTCATCTCTGCAGTGGTTCCCTTGGCCATTGTGTGCCTGCACTTTGTCTCATTTGCTCGGTCCCGTGCCCTGCACTCCATCTAGTCTCGGTCAGTGCGCGCAGCCTCCATGCAGCGCCCCATCTTGTCCAGCATCCAAACTGGCACAGAGAATGGTTTAATCTCGTCCGGAAGTAGCTCCGGGCAGTTCCTACACAGGGCACAAGGACAGGGGTAAGGGCGCTTAGCGTGAAGCGGCGCGGAGTAGGGACATGCTTATGTAGTTACCGCTAGTGCTGGGTTACTTTAAGAATGTGTTACTAGTAACGTGTGTTGGATCTGGAGTAAGCGTAAGGTTAGTGTTCGTATTAGGGATAGGACCAGTGTTAATCTTAGCAATGGGGACAGTCAAAATTAGGCAAGTGTTTGAATCACAGTAGTGGTTGTTGTTAGTCATATTAGGGTTAGTGTTGCAGTTAGCATTCATAATAACGTTGGGGTTGGAGGTCATTATAGAGAGAGTGTTAAAGTTGTGTTCCCGTTAGTATTAATGTTAGAGTTAGTGTTAGAGTTCGTCATATTAGAAGTTAGGATTCTGGTGAGTGTTTACATAAGTTTAATGGGTTATGGTTATGGACGATGCTATTCCACCAAATGAGGAACCACTGGGAAAATAAATGTATTGTATTGCTCCAGTATCTACAACACATGAAAACAATCAACACGCAGAGCCTGGGCGTGGCCGAGCAGTGAGCCACCTCGTGAGTGGGGCGTGGAGCTACTGAGCAGACTGACATTGACAGGGGGACGTTTTGCATCTGAAGACCAAATCACCGTGATTGTCAGCTCAAATGAGAATTAAGGCACTGGTGCTCATCTCCTGCGTACAGCCCCACAGAGCCAGGGCTGTAAACATTCCAGTGGCAGGAACGAGTCTCTCCATAGGACACAACCACTGTTGACTCGTTCACAAAGAGCTACTCATTTTATTGAGCCCACGGGGATGACGAGCTGAGTGAATCCCCCAATCAGGATTCAACTTGCAACATTCCAATTGTTGAAGACTTAGTCTTATGAGTTAATACAGGGTGGTGCTCAGGTTATGAGCTAGCATTGTAGGGTAGGTGTCTACTCAGTCTAAGGGTTAGTGTTGATGTCAATGTTATACGAGTTAGGGTTCGGGCCGTCTAGAGCCCCGGGAAACACTCACCTGTACTCATCACTCTCGACCAACTCACGGATATCTTGTTCCAGAAGCAGATAGGCCTACAGACACACACAGACATGCACACAAAAATTAAGAGTCTGTCCCTATCTCAGTGTCTGTACACGTGTATGTTTGCATCTCAGTCTGTGTACATGGGGAGTGGTGGCACAATGGTTGGCGCTCTGCTGTATGAACCCAGTTCCATTCCCGCTCACGGCCAACATCGCTAGCGAATATCTAAACTGGTCCTGAGCCTCCCTTAGGTCGACCTCGCCTTAAATGAGTACCTGGTGCAGTGTATAAACATCAGCACTGACGAGACAATGGTGAGTGGGCATGGCATTGGCCACCCACCCCCTCATTTGCCGTGCTGGCCTTTATAGGTGCTCACAAACAGCACTTGCCCCAACAACATGTTAAAGGCTATAGACGGTCTTTTTTGTGTGTATGTCCGTTTTAGTGCAAGCATCTCACCATTTTTCCCCCTGTAGCTGGCATGTGATGTCTCTCTGCCAGCCAGTGCTTGTCTTGCGTGTCCGCTGCATACTGTCACACACAAAGATCTCTGTTAATTCCTACGTACTGGTGAGCAAGTGCAGTTGGCGAATATCTATTAAGACCAGCATTGCACCGCAGGGGGTGGTTTGGCCAGCACCATGGCAAACCACATTTGTGTTTTGAGTGTTAATATTTGCACACTGCAACTGTTAACCCTTTAAGGCTGAGTTGACTTAGAGGAGTAGCATATAGTTACAGCACTTGACTCACAATTTGAGTTCGTGACTTCAAATCCCAGTTGACTTAGCTGTCACCATCATTTCTCTCGAGTTGATAAAATTTATTCCCCCACGATTTGGGAAGTGTGATTTTTTACATCTTTCACCTGAAGAAAGCCACTTGTGTTGTGGCCGAAACGTCGTGAGAATTTTATTGTGTTATTTTATTAATTTATTATTTTATTCTCATTCTACGTGACTTTACCGAAAGAACCAAAGAAGAATATCAATCTTAATCAGCATTATCATCATCATCACGATCATTATGTTAATCATTATCAATCATCCACTGTCATAATCATAATCATGGCCAAACATCCCCATATAGAACCACAGAACTTGGGCAATTGTTGGTATTGCGGCTTTTGGCTGACTTCCACTGAATTGTGGACTCCCGCACCTCCACGCAAAAACTATGCACGTTACAAGCTCTACTGCAGCGTTTTGCATTGCAAATTCGCAAGAACGATGATACTATATACATAAATCTAATGGTCACCATTGCATTTATGATTACAATCAGGAGCAGTGAAATTATTGTCATCACCATAGTCATCATCGTCCACCATCACGATTGTCACCACTTTGGGGTCAATACATTACAGGTGGCTTGTAGTCACCCCATGGAGAGTTTGTTCCCCCCTCCATGAGAAGGGAAAACTAGGATCCATATCTAACGGAGGGAGGGAACTTGCCTATAACATCTGCCAGTTAGCCAGCACCGATTCAAGTAAGCCTGACTGCTGATGAGACGCTGAATGTGGGAAAAGGTTAATAGTTGCTTGTATTGAATGAATGTTGTTGTAATTATGCTCTCCCAGAAGGCTGTGTGGCTGATGGGATGTGATAAAATAATTGTATATTTTTTATTTGGAGGGACTGGCAAGGGAAGGAGGCATGGTGTCTGCTCACGTGTTGTGTTACTCATGTAATGACAATAAAGCCTGCATGCGGTGCGAGTGGACTAGTGGCCACGGAAGGTTTTGACAGGGGTATCAGTTGTGAGTGCGAAGGGGCTGGTGGCTCCGGGAATAATCGAGGATGCGTGGTCAGGTATTGGAAGAGGAAGGTAGGGTCTACCGGTGAAGCGAGCGTCCAGAGTCAGCGAGAAGGTTCGGGAAGGGGGGCGTGGCCTCAGTTGGTATATAAGGGAGATGCGTGGGAGACTCAGGGCTGTTGCAGTGGGGTCTCCGCCTGATGTCAAGTTAACGTATCTTCAACAAAGTGTCATCTCAAGAAAAGTGTGTTAAGTCGTCATTACGCTCATATTCACCAGGGCGACGTGACCGATGATATTGTTTGGCTATTTTAGCCACGTGTGGGGGTGCTGCCTCTCGTCCAGTGCCCTGGAGGTGATGATCAGTAGACCACACCGATGTGGTAAAGCTCCTAAACCCATAGCACAGCAAGTGGATCGGTGAACCTGCCTGCATGGAGCTTTAAGTGTTCTCCCCTCGTATGGCACACGATTTCTCAGGGTACTCTGGTATATTTTCTGGTAGAAATTCTGGGATATTCTCACATAATACTCATTCATGGAAATGACCAAACGCCCGAAGGCAGGAACATAATGAACAGCAGTCTCAGGGAGACGTCTCTTTGTGACGTAAATAAATAATTGCCATTATTCTTATAAGGTTTATGCTTACCTTAAACACACCTGGATGTTTTATGTAAATACGGCCTCTCGTTCCACCCATACCTAGAGCTCTGATATAACCACAGGGATACACACACGCATGTCATAAACAAATACAACCTCAACATATTTGTAAATAACACTATGGTCTTAAAAGTAAAAAAATATATAGCAGATGATATATCAGGCAATGGCTCAACATAGCACATAAACCAAAGGCCAGATTTACACAAACACAGACGTATCTGTGTGGCATGTGTATGATGTTCTCCCCTTGTTCTGCACTGGATTTCTCTAGGTTCTCCCGCTTCCTCCCCATAGCTAAAAGAACCGATACAACGTAGTTGATATTCACCAAAACTTCCCAATGTTGAAAAAAAACCCCGAAAATTACTGAATTCGGATGTTTCATAGCAACACCGCTCTCTATTGCGAAAACTCGGCAGGACCCGCCTGAGAAAGTCTTGAGACTCACCAAGGCTTTCACTAGGTAAAGAAGCATAATAACAAGTCAATGCACGTGTAACTGTCTTCACTATAGTCAATACATTATGATCATAAATGTACATCCTTACGTGAAAATGACCTCTAACTGCAGTCAACATCTTCTGCCACTCCTATTATTGCTGCTGCTTTTGTTATTGCTGCTAATTTTGTTGGTTGTGCTACTACTGATGCTTTTGGTGTTACTGTTGTGGCAAGTGTTGCCGTCTTTAGTACTGCTGCTACGCTTATACTGTTGCTGCTGCTTTTGCTACTGCTTGTATTGCAGCTGTACCTGATGATGTTGCTGCTGCCGCTTGCATTGCCACTGCGGCTTGTATTGCAGCTATGTGCAGCGATTGCTGATACTGCTTGTATTGATGATGTATGCGATGATGTATGTGCTGCTGTAGCCAGTTATACTTGTTAGCTCGAGATCCCAGGACAAATGTGGTCGATTCCACCAGGCGAGAAGAGTCCCACTACAGACACAAATACAGATCCCCCACACAGTATCAATAATTGCTGGGACAAGTGACGTTAGCGAGTACCTCTTAAGGCCGGCACCATAGCCGTTTGCACCTATTAGAGTCGGCACCACAACCGTTTGCCTCCCCAGTGCCAATGTTCAAGCAATGCACCAGATGCTCATGTAAAGCTGAAATAACCAATAGGCTGCCCAGGATAGGTTCAGATAGCACTTGCTGTTGGCCAAAGGTGGAAGTCAAATGCACTGGGTTTGATGTGAAATTTGCGAACCACTGGTAATACTCCTCCACACAAAAACACAGACATGCAGACGCACGTGTTTACAGCAATATAGCTGTACAGAATGCTGGGGAAAGTGTGAGCGAGCACCTACAAGGGCCAAAACAGGGTGGTGTATAGAGCATCAAACCCGACTGCCTTTGTGTCCCCAGTGCTGATGTTCACCACACACCACAATAGGTCAGGACTGGTGCTAGAGGGTGCTAGGGTGGGCACTGCACACGCAGACGTCCCTTTGACCCACCCAAGTTGACTCTGCTTAGCGGTGATTCACCGCTACTGTGCCCCCCCTTCACTGGCCCCCTCAACCGCAAGAGGCTGGAGCCGGTCATGCGCCAGGTACTCATCGAAGGCTTGCTAAGTCGACCTAGGAGAGGCCCCATTTCCACACATAGCCTAGGAGATGAACCACCTGACAGTGGTCGTTTAACCAATAAATCACTGACTTTGAAACAGGCATGCAACTACACAGACACAACAGCTGCCTTTCGCAACTAGGTCGCAGTGAAGTCACCACAGCGCTTGTGCCAGGCCAGGTGCACACTGAGGCCACATGAAGTGTCAAAGGCTCGCTGACTGGAAGTCACAGGACAGAGTCAGATGCCATGGGTTGACCGAGATGACTGACAGATACACCACCTGAGCCCCCTACTGTGCCAACTTGCTGCATTTTAGCTACCTGCCGCTCCACTCATTGTTGCGAGCATCGCTCCTCTGCCTTCCACTGTTGTTGAAGGGTAACTGCCTCCAACTGCTCAGGAGCGTCCTTCATGAGCCTCCTCCAGAGGCTGATGTTGACACCCATGGTACCAGTTCTTTGGAAAGGCCACTCAGCTCCACATTCTCCTATACCGCATCAGTTCGTCTCTTCTCCAGCTCGTGCCGCGCCCATATAGCCCCCTCAATCCTGCCAAACAGAAGCTGCTGCTTGGGCATATGGTGGTTGGGCATGCAGGCTACATGACCCAGCCAGCACAGCCTCGTCCATCGGAGCAGCTCACTCGTGAGAATGTGTACAGGTCTTTCAAGGATTTGTGATTTCACACCATCCAGCCTGGTTAAACTCAAGATGGATCGTAGGCAGGCCAGCCTGAATGTTTCAAACCGACGCTGATTTTTTTTTAGAGGGGTCCATACTTCGTAAGCATACAGAAAGGAGGGCGTGACTGTGGCCGAGAAGACCCAAATCTTCACGTGGAGCGACTGACCAGGTAGCTTCCACACAGCGTTATGCAGGTGACTAAAAGGTAATGCCGCTCGGCTATTTTGGATTGAGACCTCTGTTGACAATCCAAAGCTGGTCATGCGCACATTCCCCAAGTATGGAAACTTCTCCACTCTCTCCACAACTGCCCAATCACTCATGGGAAGTTGAGGGCGTGGAATATTGGAAGACAAAAAATACCCAGGCAGGTGCTTAGTTTTGGTAGGGCTCTTAGGGGCACGCTCCAGGTTCAGCAGCAGAACCTCCAACTCCTTCTCAGAGTGAACAGCAATCACCACATACACAGGTACACAAATGCAAAGGCACACAGACAACAAGTGGTGCAGAACCAAGTGCTATTTTAGAACACCCATCAAGGCTGACAATTCTAAATTTAACCAATCTCTGTGATAATAAACAAGAAAATAAAACATACCTTGGGGCCTTCCTTGCGCACGGGCTCATTCGGTTTGATTTTTGAGCTGTACGTAGAGACAAAGCAAGGTTTAAAACATCACTGACCACATGTTCAGTATTAAAAACAATATAAAACAGCTGGAATCCCTTGTTTAATATATACGTACATGACAGACACATTTATATACATTTATAAAGTTATATATGTAAAAAAAATACAATAGTTACACAGACCTACTGGCCTCTTGATGGGATGTATAGGCTTTGTTCAGGTGAATAAAGAGGATATGTAGATATGTTTTGAAAATCTCACAAAGGCCTCCTGTGTAGTATTTTATGAGCCACAGTGGCAAGTGCTATGAGCGAACACCTTGGAAGGCCTACACACAAGGGGGTGATGTGGTTCGCACCACATCCGGCCACATTTGTCTCCCCGTTGTTGATGTTTACACACCACACCAGGTAATAATTTATGGATACGTCGACCTAGGGAAGGCCCAGGACTGGTTCAGATATTAATCACTGATCAAACATGGGTTGCGAGTATGTAGAGTAGTATACTAACCACCGTGGCACTGCTCCCCATAATAGAATAACACACCTACAACTCTCTCACATACTGTATTTGTTAAACACTGAACACTGCATCATATGTTAGCTGTTCCATATACAGCCGACACAGCTCACACACTGAGCTTACACAGAGGTGCTGGGTGCCTTGCGCTCATACGATGTGAAGTGGCTTGGAGGACGCCCCTTTCTCTGTGGGCACATCATCATGATCAGCATCATTAGCACTATCATCAGCACTATCATCAATAGTGTCGACAGCATTATCACCATTACCACCAAATCCACCACTGACACCACCGCTGTCACCACAAATACTATGACCACCAACACCACCACCCCCTTCACAATCACCACCATTGTGAGGTCACACTTACCTTCCTGGGTGCTGATTCTGACTTCACAGACTCCTGGACATCATTGCTCAGCTTTGGCCTCTTAAGCATAAAAACAAATGTTAGAAAAAACACGTGAAGATGATATGGGTCTATAGTAAAATATATTTAATAAAGGAAATTAACAATAACTATTTTAAAATATTGTTATGGGTCTAACACACAGGCTCACAAGTTTGTGACGTTACATGTCCCATCCTGGGACCCACAACTCAGCCCTACCCATTGTGCTTTCTCCTTACATCACAAATTACATTGGATTTGGTTTCCTAGGACATCATCCTGCAACATGTGGAATTGATAACACTGAAGGTAGATATATTCTTCATCAAAGGATTCCAGCACCTTGATCCATAATAATGTCCTTAACAGACTGTTCAAGCAAGTGCTGTTCGCGATCACGTATAAAGGCTGGCAAGGCACAAGAAGGGGTGGGTGGTCGGTAGCACATCCGGCCGTCCTTTGTCTGCCAAGTGGCCAAATTTACACACTGCACCAGGTACTCATTTGAGGCCGAGTCAACTTAGGGGAGGCCCAGGACCGGTTCAGATGATCATCACTGATGTTAGCCGTGAGCAGGGATAGAACTTGGGTCGCCGGATTCATAGAGCATAGTGCACCTACTAAACTACAGCTCCTCATATAAGAAATAATACATCCATAAATACATATACCATGGGTCGGCAACCAAAATAACAATAGCCATTTTTCGAATTCGGTAAAAAACTCAATATTTCAAAAGCCACAATACATATGAATAATAAATGACGTCACGAAGGAGTCCTTCAAGAGCCACATGCGGCTCCAGAGCCGCAAGTTGCCGACCCAACATATACGATGTAAATATATGGCCATATGTTAATCCCCTGCTGGATGAAGATCTCCCCATACCATGCTGGTCATGGAATTTGTTTGAACATACTTCTTCACCAAATTGGTCAGTTTGGTGATAGGGGGGCCCAGGACCTGTTCTGATACAACTCGTCACTGATGTTAGCCGTGACTGGAAATCAAGTTCTCAGGTCGCTGGGTTTGTCATGCGTTGTGTTTAACACTGCGTCACCACTCCACCCCAAACACACATGCACATTCTTTTGCAAAAACGTGTGTATATACATGCACACACAAAACCACAACCAGAATCTATCCACACAAAATCTGATTTATCTGCAGGCTAAATTGCTCCAATACCTCGTTAGCAGATGCCATGCTGTATCCACTACTGGATTAAGGCCTCCCCAAGCCATCACCAACTGTCATGGCTCATCACTGGACCTCCGCGACAGATGCCCTCTCATTCATGTTCCTAATATGAGCTGCCACTCTATCATAAGTCTCGACCATTGACCAAGAGAGCGCACGGCAGACAACCACCATGGAGATGGAGCGATGATATCGGCTAATGTGCGGGAGACGTGTAGAAATGACGTAGACGGCACGGGTGGACCTTTATCGAGCATTTCAGAGATGATGGATGATGATGGAGACGATTCTACTTGCGATAATATAACTTTCTTTTGTATGGCCTATGTAGAGCACCTGTTAGAGACTCGGCTCTAGGTCCTTTAGCCACTCAGTTGGTTTATCGGAATTGTTGAATTTCAGATACACTAGTCCACTGCATGTACATGTCAAGAAGTGCGACGTGATAAGGTCCAGGATTTGGAGTTTGCAGTCACACATAGGAGAGTCTGGTGATAATTTTGACAATGGTGATGATGGTCATGAAGATAGTGGTGGTGGTAACGATGATGGTAATAATTGTGGAGATGACTGGAAAGATGATGATAGTGCTGGTGGTGATGATGGTGGTGATGTTCATGATGATGGTGGTGGAGATGATGAGAAAAGAATGTTTGATGGTATGTGATTCCACATTGCTTTTTTTGTTTAGTTTGTTGTCCTTCCCCGCACCTTCTATTATCACCGTTGGCTACGTACGGTACAAAATAAGTTCAACATACATGCATTGGATTTACCTGCATATTGCCCACATTCACACACACACATATATACCTTGGCTGCAGTAGATTCTTGATGATGCTGCTGGTGTTTAACACTGACTTTGCCTGGCTCCTGGTACATCATCTTGGCCTGCAGAACACACATACAAGCACAGTGATGGCTTCCTTAACATACACAATAATTGTTTTGACAACAATGCACTTAACATTTAATGTATGGCATTAACTGACAATAGTACAGAAAGCCAGGAAACCAAAACTTTCCATATTCCCATTAAAAAAAATTCACACAACCTATCGTACCCATTTATTGCAGAGGGTCCTTGGGTATAAACATCTGGAAATTCGCCAGCATTTATTTAAATAAGCGCGACTGCTGCTGAGAGAATGAATGTCAAAATCAACCCCGATCTTTGCTTGTGTTGAACCAATGCTGCTCAAACACACTGCCAGAAGGCCATGGGGGTACAGTGCTGTGTAAAAAAAATGCTTGTTACTTTTGTGCAGGAAAAACGAATATAGGAAGTCTTTATTTATCGTATTAATATTCTCCACAATAAAGCTTCATTATTAATGTTTATTATATAGTTTTGTCCAGGCCATCCTTTACCCCCCAACACCTCAGAAAACGGGGCACTGACATTAGTTGAGACAATACGAATAAGGCAGTAAACACGACGCAAAAAAGTGAATTGATTAATGACGAGATGGAAGGATGAGATCAGTTCGTGAGGTGCGTGACAGGTGGTGGCAATTTGGGGAGACTTTCATCCAGTAGTAAATTGATCATGTCTTGATTTGAAGCGTTCGTGACTGCAGGAATCCACTCTCTGGTTCTTTCGGTAAAGTCAGGTGAAGACGGACGCTTGTGTTGCGACCGAAATGTCGTGTTTTATTTTATTTTTTCTTCTATCTACGCGACTTTATCGAAAGAAATTGATCATGGTTGATGATGACAATGACTGAATCACAATGACAAACTAATTAAACATTTTTTTTTATTTTACCCAGCTACAGCCCACTGAGCTATATTGCTCTTTTTTAGTATTGACCTTTTTTAGTATTGACCTGGCCACAAATAATAGCGCAACAAAGTGGCTTATCATGTGAAAATTTATAGCAGCCAAATATTCTAAACACGTTTCTCAATATGGAGGGACCCGGAGAAAAATCCACACGACCACAGAGAGAACATGCAAACTTCAAATATACAGCAGGCATCAGGATAGAATCCAAGACTTCCTGTATACCAGGCGAGGTAGGTGACTTCTCACCATCATGGCGACAAAATTGGGATAATTCATCGAATTTAGGGGGGTCAATCGTTGTTTTTCTGCCACATAGACCTGTTTTCATCTCAAGACAATATTCATACCTACTTTAATCACCCAGGAATAGCCTTAACCGCTCGTGACGTCACTCCACGTCGACCAGCCCCCCCTAATTAATAATCATGAACAGGTTACATCCTCCACATGGACCCGCCCCTCATTAATAATCATGAGTGGGTGACGTCACTCCACATCGAACAGACCCGCTCATTAATAATCATGAACAGGTAACGTCCTCCAAATGGACACCCCGCCATTAATAATAATTAGCGGGTGACATCACTCCACATGCGGGGGGGGGGGGGGGCGTGGCGCCTCCTCCCCCTCCTCAGCGTCAACTTACAACCCCCACTACAAAGGCAGAACCCTCACGTCACGCGATCTCCGTAACGCTATTGAGACATCAAAGTAAAAAGGACGTCATAATGAACAATGGATTATAACCTCTAAATGAAATAAGTCTGTCACCGCGGCCTTACAAATTGCACACGAATGGATGAAATTAATATCACGCCGCAGTCTGCTTTTCGCTTGAAAGTTTCAGATTTACTGCAATACACCCGTCCTCGGACGGGCAAAAGGCTAGTTATTTTAGAATTTCCACCATTTGCTCTGTAGGACTGTAAACCTGAGATGAGCACCAAGGCCTCAATTGCTCACTTGAGCAGAAACTCACTGTGACGTTGTGAACCACACAGCTGGAATCAAGACTGGTAGGAAAAGCAATGGAAGTGTGGAACCGCGACAATGAAGAGAAACCCACCTGCTCGAGGCAGTTGCGTATTGTATCTCTCACCAGGTGAGCCGCATCCACCCCCTCTCCCACGTTGTCACGCACATTTTGCGCTGCTTTCTGCACAAACTGAGTGGGGAAAATGTAAACGTGTTAGCAATGCACAAATATCCAAACAAAGTGGTAAGCAAGTATCTTAAATATTCCTCCAGTTATTTATGGAAGCTACATTCAGCTGACAATATGCTTCAACTTGTGGCCCATGATGGCTGATAGACTGGTCCACAAAGCTATGGCCTGGTGTGATATCAGACTTTCCAGGAGATAGAAGAGACATCACGATGTAGTGAAATGAGAAAACGCAGACAAGAGAGAGATGCAGTGAGATTATAGATGAGAAATGGGGACAGATAAGAGAAGACAGCTATAGATTATAGAGAAATAGCAAGATGAGATTTAAAAAAACATTTTTAGTGCAACCGAAGATAAAACATGAGGCAGATTAAGATGTAGTGACAGTGAGATGTGGTGAAAAAATAAGTGTTCAGACAAGATAGTAAAGATAACAGGTGAGAGAGATGCATCCAGACAAGACAGAGGAGAAACGAAAATAGAGAGTTGCATTCATATTAGATGCAAGAGAAATGTAATCCGATGACATAGATGATACAGGAGACATGCATTCAGACGAGTTGATACGACAGAGATGCATTTACGTGACAGATATGGGAAATATATTCATCATAATAAAGATGGGCAGTTGGCTCAGCGGTGGTACGAGCGGCTTATAATTGTAATGTTGCGAGTTCAAATCCTGGGTGGGAGGAAGAGAAGCGCATCATCTCCTTTGGCGGATCTCAGTCAGTGGTGGAAACTGCTCATATCATGACAGAGTCGGGTGGCTTTGTGGCCGTCTACTCACGTGAGAGTATTTGTTGAGCACAGCACGGATGTCGTTGTTAATGTACGGCTGCAGCACAATGCGCAGCAGTTCCATGGAGGTGGCCGGCTCAGTGAAGCTGTGGCCGGAATTGGGGACACGGGAAAAGTTGAAGACATCACGATGAGATCTCACACTCACAACACAGGACCCTGGAAGCGCAGGTAGTTAAAACAATTCTGAACAGACGATAACACCAACAATGCAAGTCACCTTTGCAATTACAAGGCGTCGCTTTAAATGCCTCGGTAACTCCAAACACCTTACATCACAACTGTGTCTCCCTCGCCCTTTACCCAGTCACGCTATCGTTCCTCTTCCCTTCTTGCTTTCCTTCACTGAAATAAACTCCCACTGCATGTGAATGCTAATTTCTCTCACATTAACATAGCCACCTCTGCGCGCTCGTCGTGGAGGTCGTCCTCCGATTTACTATTAACATGCTAATGTTTTATTTAAAGCTTTCGTGACTGCAGGGATTCATATTCTTGGTTCTTTCGGGAAAGTCACGTAGAAGGGAAACAATAAAATAATACAAATATAAAACAATTAAATTATCACGACGTTTCGACTGCAACACAAGCAATCATCATCAGGTGTGAAAACCACAGCAAGAAAATTTGAAAAAAAGTGGCGGTTTTTTAACGTTAGCACCACGGAGAGCGATTTGGCAGTTATTCAGATGGACGAGTCCATCTATGTTTGGAAAAGAGGGGGGGGAAACGAAAATAATGGATGCGGTCTGAAAGCCACCGTAAGCGTGAACAATCAATTAAGACCCGAAATGGTTTATCAAATCCTTTCAATGATTGTTAAGCCAGAATCCATCTTCTGGGTTGAAATTTGTATATGTGGATAGCCTCATGAACGAATCTCTCATGGTAGCCAAATGGCTTGCAAAGAACCTCTGTCTTGGAGAAGTCAATGTCATGTGAGCCTACTGAATTATAACAGTGATCTGCCACGGCCGAGGTGTTGGTCCTACCGTGTTTTAGGTCTGCTTTGTGTTCACGAATGCGGTCCGAGACATGTCGTTTGGTTTCTCCAATGTAACTACTACCACAGAGGCAAATAAGTTTGTAGACGCCAGGGTACTGTATGTATGGAATCACATCTTTTACAGATGGAACCAAATCACGGATTGTATGTAATGTGTTGAATCGGACCTGGATCTTGTGTTTGTTCAAGATTTTGGAGATCTATTTTGTGATCCCCGCAATGTAGGGTAAAGTGATGGTTTTGAAAGGCTCCTCAAGAGGGTCCTTCTTCATGGTTGGAGTGATAGCTTTGCGGATTGTGTAGTCGGAGTAACCATTAGCCTTAAGAGCTTGGTGTACGTGCTTGAGTTCACTGGCTATGTGTTCCTGGTCGGATATGCATTGGGCTCTAGACCAATTCTTCGACAACATCAATTCCATACACCCAGCCATCAGATTTACCATGGAAGTCGAAAAAGATGGCAAGCTACCTTTTTTGGATGTTCTAATAAAAAAGAGACCTGATGGTTCAATGAGCCACTCTGTCTACAGGAAAGCTACCCATACGGATGCTTACCTGAAACCGGATTCCCACCACCATCCATCCCAGAAGAATTCCCTCATCAAGACTCTGCACTGAAATGCTTGTGCTGGACACATAATTTCAGTGTTGGCCTTTCGTTCTAAAGGTCAAAAGTTAAATTATCGGGTGTGAAAATAGTTTTTCACAAATTCAGATTCAAAGTACTTTATATAGAGGTTTCAACTCTACCATATTTAAGAGTCAGTTGGCTGCGGCTGATAAGTTCTAATTCAGTAGGCTCACATGCCATTGACTTTTCCAAGACAGAGGTTCTTTGTAAGCCATCTGGCTTCCATGAGAGATTCGTTCATGAGGCTATCCACATATACAAGCACAGAGACAATTTCAACCGAGAAGATGGATTCTATCTTAGCAATCATTGGAAAGATTTGATAAACCATTTCAGGTCTTAATTGATTGTTCACGCTTAGTGGCTTTCAGACAGCATACATTATAAAAAATTTCGTCTCCCCCCTCCTCTTTTCAGAATATAGATGGACTAGTCCTAAATAAACTGCCAAATCGTTGCGCGTGGCGCTAACGTTTTTATAAATAAATAAATGCGCCGTTTATAAATAAATTTATGCAAACCAACACACCTGAAGACGACCGTTTGAGTTATGGTCGAAACGTCGTGAGAATTTTTTTATTGTTTTATATATTTTTTATTATTTTGTTGTTTCCCTTCAACGTGACTTTACCGAAAAAACTAAGAATAAGTTGGTTGAGATTTGACAATTTGAGTTTTATCTCACCATTTTCAACTCTCAGGTCCACACTTCAAGGCCCGACTTATCAAAATGGAAACCAAGAAATCAAACAAAAATCAAAGCACTACTGTGATGACAAATGCTAAACAAACAACGGATCATGACAACGCAAATAAAAAAGAAACTGCAACGCAACGAAAGCAACGGTTAAAAAAGGCTCGGCAAAAGTACAAAGAAAAGCGTGCAAATGAAGATGAAGAGGCAAAGCGCACCAGACTTGAGACACGATGTGATCGTTTGAATGATGAAACGCCAGAAGCACGTAACGTCCGATTGCAACGAGACCGTGAACATCACATACAATCAAGAAATGAATAAACACCAGAAGCTTGTGATGTCATATTCAAGCGAAATCGTCAATATCAATTGCAACGTCTTCAAGCACTCAATGCTGACATGCCAACATTTGACAATGCAATCAATACATTCTGCGATTGCATCTGTCAAGTCTGCACCAAACGATGCTATCCAAAACAGATTTACAGAGTACGACTTAATGAAAATGCATTGCACTATCTACCAAACGAATTGTCATCAAAGCAAACATTGGAAATGTGTTCACGTTGCAATACACACATCCGTGACAAAAGAGTCGCACCGCCAAAAGCTCACTGGAATAATTTGGATCCTGGTGAATTTCCAGATTACATTCGAGTCTTAACACAGCCAGAACAACGTCTATTATCAAGAGTGATACCATTTGTGAAGATCATCAAATTCAGTGGAGTCTTCGGTCAATATGGCTTCCCTGGAAACGCAGTGCTATTTGCTATGGACATCTTTGAAGTTAATGAAACAATTCCACGAGCAATGGATAATACTGGAATGGTTGTCATCACAGAACATCTTAAGAATCTCAACATCACACGTGAATTCTCTTAAATCGTGAACGAGTTTACAATGCACTCAACTGGCTAATTCGAAACAATCCACTTTATCACGATGTAACAATCAATGAAGAAGCAAACATCACTGATGTACATTCAGTTGCTATTCCTGCTCAACAACCAGTGGAGCAAAATCAGCCGCAAGAACCTGCAAATGCTTACATGCCAATCAATGAAAGATCTAGAATTGTTCGCGCTACATGGCATCAAGCAAATTAACATATGTTTACATGGGGCAATGCAGGTGTTCAATGTTGTGGGAAAATATTGTAAGAGCTGCTATACTGACACCAAGCATATGGACCACAAACACATTGTACGTTAACTTGATTGCAGGTGATGAAACATATTAAACCATTCGATTGGCAAAACTTGAAAATGTAGGATATCGAATGACAGGAAATGGATATCTGGAAGTCAAACATTTCGATGTCATAAGAAACGACTTCATTATGTTCTCCAACTCATTCTCAATAGCCTATGCTGAGGAAACACTACTCAACGGAAGTCTACAACATTCAGTTAATGAAGACGATTCACAAGGAATAACTTTGGGCGATGCATTTAATGCATTGTGCATAAATAATCAGGCTGGCGTACTAATAAGAGGATCCAAATCACTAGGAATTATGCATTACGATCACAAATACTACTTCACTGATTCAGATTCATGTGGTCTGAAAGGTGCACCGGCAGGCAATGGCAGAGCATGCGTAATTGAGTGTGACACAATTTAAGAACTTGAACGAATCTGCAGACGATCAACAGGATCAAGAAATGTTCAATTCACCATCAACTTCATAGATCTTCATCAGAAAAATGACATCGTACATCCAGGAATGCCAGAAGAAGAATATTCATCACCACATCTGCGAGAGCCAATGCAAGAAACTTTGGCTGCACAAGTTGAATAGGTGCCTGTACAAACATCAGTCATGGCTTCGATAGATTGTCATCAACCAAATTTGGAGGATGAAAACGAAGTCTCTAATAATACTCATGAAATAAGGCGTAAAATAACAAAATACATTGTGAAAAAAGCACATGAATTTAGAGCTGAAAAGTTTGCATAGTTCTACCTCTTCCCAAACGGAATCAATGGACTCAAAGAAGACCTGTGAGAATCACTCGAATGGACTTTCAATTCACAATTCTGGGTAGTGATACACGATTTCAACAAAACGACTACCTCTTCTACGCATTATCAATGTTCGAGTATTATCGCATCCAATCGAACATCTCAGCTTGTGGAAAGAAGGTTCAAGGACAAGATGGTACAATAGAAGATCTTCACCTCTACCATAAGAACCTTCAAGGATCAGTTGCATATTGGCAAACAGTGCTGAATGAATTGATCGGACAAATACGTTCAATAGGACCACCAACATACTTTGGGACATTCAGTTGCAATGATTTGAATTGGCTTGATATGTGCAAGGCACTCTTAATAGCTGATGGCAGACCCGATGAAGATCCAAATGAACTAAATATATATGCCACACAACGAGTCATCGAAATGTATCCTCTCATAGTCACTCGACACTTATTGATTCGATTGAACGCACTTATTACATTCTTCCACGACAAGTTTGTGATGAAGCCCACATTGTCTCTGAAACATCTGATGACTTCATTACCAATGCTGGTCAAATATGCTTGCTGAAGCGAAGATACAAAGACCAATGGATTAACAATTACAATCCTATGCTACTCAACCTCTGGAAAGGAAATATGGACATCCAGCCATGCGGATCAAATGACTCAATCACGTACTATTTTGTAAAGTACATTGCAAAATCAGAACCTACAGAGCTTTTCCCAGGAATCAGACAAGCATTACAGCAAATTCGACGTGAAGAAAATGATGTGTCGCGCAAACTGTTCAAGATCTGCATGCGAATAATGAAGGAGCAACAGGTTTCAGCTGGTGAATATGTATTCCGATTATGTCATCTGAACTTTCGAGCAAGTTCAAGAAAATGTGTCTTCCTCAATACTCGGAAACCTGAGCAGCGATATAGAGTGGTGAGATGCAATGAACAAGGTCAGGCATCTGAATATTGTGCCAACATCTTTGAACGATACAAAAAGCGTCCTTTGCAATATCAAGATATGTGCTTGGTAAAGTTTGCAATTTCCCTCCGCAGGAATGTGTTAATATTTATAGGAGCCAGTCGTGTTACGATCCAACATTGATGTCTCTAAAGATCTTATAAATGGTGCAATTGGATATATCACAAAAATCACTTGGCCTATCCTAGTCGTGCACAATTGCACGAAAGACAAATACCCTCACTAGTTGAAATAAACTTTGGCAAGGACGGCACACACGAAATTAAGCCAAAATCAGTTCAGTTCCCTGCTAATCGTGGCTATGGTACAGCTGAACGAAAAATGTTGCCACTAATTCTATCATGGGCATCGACAGTGCACAAAATGCAAGGATGTACAGTGCATCATGCAGTCGTGTACTTGGGATCAAAGCTCTTCGAAGTAGGTCAGGCCTATGTTGCCTTAAGTCGTGTTCGTTCGTTGGATGGACTTAAAATTGAAGATTTGGACAACCGAAAACTGACCGGAAACACACCATGCAATAATGAAGCGTAAGCAGGAATCAATAGAATGAGAAATCATCAACCACATAAAAAAATGGATTTGTGTGACATCTTATACACACAAAAATGGTTGAGGCAATGTATAGAGTTAAGAACAGTGCTCTCGGATCGCACTATAAAATGTAAGGTCCACAAAAGAGTGAACTTAGTCTTAGACTGAGTCTATTTTCAAAAAAGTATACAATAATATTCCTTTTATTTTAAATTGCACTAAAAAGTAACAAATAATTGTTTTTCAGCCGTCACCAGCTGATCACAATATTTTTGGACATTTGTAACTAAAACATAAAACCGTGGGGCGCTCCTTTAATATCACTTATATCTTCATCGATGACCAAGAATAGCTAAAGAAAGTTATCAACAAATGTTACTAAATAGCATAACAAAATACTATAACATTTCTAATAATATAGCGTGGTTATCTCTATTTTGCTATTAACATTGTCATGATGCTACTTAGTTGGCTGAGATGGCTTGATGCGTTAGTACCACGTTTGCAATCATCTAACCGATTCCATGCTAAAATTCTAGTATTTAGGTTGTGAAGAGTTGGAACGAAGTATAATATGAAATAGCTCCTAGCGTTCCTTTGTAAACTAACGTCTCACAATATGAAGGGAGTGGTATCTGATTTGACAATAAAAAGTTAAGCTGTAAGGTCCTAGGCAATGCAGAATATGCATGATATGGACTAACACGTATCAATAGTAAAAAGCTAAGTATGAAATTATAATATAAAGTTCACCATTCATCTGAAAATCTTGACGAGCAATTTTTACTCATCAAAAGTGAAAACTTAACAACATAAGTAATAAGTATTTGAAACAATTTAAACGCACATGTCGACTTGATTATGATTGGGAAATAAAAAAATGCATAAATAATAGATACAATAATTACAATTATAAACACTTGAAAAATACCTTCGAAATAATTTGTAACAAATCTACTACGCATTTATTATATTTTGGGACAACCAAAGATATATTTGATTATCTATATATAGCAATTACATGTACATGTCATTTATGTACTTATCTTCCCTTCGACAATATACTGTCACCAAGAATAGAAGTTTCCATAGGAAGGTGGGAAAATATTAATGGATTTAGGTTTACTTTTCATCACTTTGCAGACAACTGTTCTTAAAAAAGCAGTTTAACACGGATACGCGTAGAAAGAGCTAGTAAAACTACTCAAAACACTTGCAAATGTTCTACACTTCATGGCAAACTTAAATTACATCATTATCAAAAATTTTCCTTCTACTACTAATAATTGACAATAATTGACGTACATTGTATTACACAAATACACTTTTATCAAAATATATATTTTAAAGCAACTCATTATGCATAAAAAAATATTAAAGGAGCGCCCCACGGTTACAAATGTACAAAAATATTCTGATCAGCTGGTGACGGCTGAAAAACAATTATTTGTTACTTTTTAGTGCACTTTAAAATAAAACCGTTGGTTTTTAAAAGAAAATTTTAAGGAGTTTATTTCAGCCTGATGACGACCGCTTGCGTTGCGATCGAAACGTCGTAGTTTTTTTATTTTCTTTGAACCTATCTACGCGACTTTACCGAAAGACCCAAAGAATATGCACCATAAGATTTAAGAATGTTAATTTGGCGAGACGACAGTGTTGCATGCCAAGTGTGTTGTACACGTTCCCCCCAAGATAGTCGGGAACGGTAGTGTAGCGGTTAGCGCGCCGTGCTACGAACCTGGTGACCCCAGGTTCGTAGCTGAATTATCTGAACCGGTCCTGGGCTTCCCCTAGGTCGACTCAGTATAACACGAGTACCTGGTGCAGTGTGTAAACATCACCCACCCCCGTCGTGTGCCGTTCCAGCCTTCACAGGAGCTAACAGCACTTGCGCCAAAAAGCGTCATGTCTAAACGGGGGATCTCTGTATTATCCCTCCGCGAGCCTCACCAGTTGATTCAGCGCTCGTAATCGATGTGGTTGCCGTTCATGAGTGCAGTGTAGGGGAGCCCCAACAGCCTCCCTCTCACCTGAGCCCAATTTGAGAGCGCCGACCCCTCCGTGCGATCTGCCGATGTTTGATCATAATGTTCCACGGCTTCTGCGCACAAACAACAGGGGCCCGTCGCAGGCGCCAAAGGTCAATCACGAGAACCTCTCAATGCGCTCGCACACGGTTGAACAAAGGAATGATGACTGAATGGCATCTTACCTTTTCGAATGAAGTTTTTTGCTCAGTCGACGCAGTGTCCTCTACAGGATGCATCGCAATGTTGTTGTGGTTTCAGAACCTATCGACAAATAATGTTAAAGTGTAATCGCGGAGATCGGCCTCGGGGGCGGCCTACCACGGCAGCGAGACTAGGCAAGAGCGAGGGTCTGGGTGAGGCCTCGGCAAGACAACACGTCAATGTTCGTACGATACCGTAACGAACTGCGATAATAGTCGACCACTAATATCACCGATTGCCGAGGGGTAACGATGATGAAAGATGAACAACGTTGTGTGTTAAACGGGAAGATGTTTTCAAGGGGAAGATGTTTCACACAAAGATGATTCGGGGGACGATACGTTCAGGCAATAACAAAGTCACGTTATGTGGTGACGTCACGCGCGTGCTCGAGCGCGATGACGTCACGCGCGTTCTCGGGCGCGATGACGTCACGCGCCTGACGTACGTGCTGCCCCGGACATGGTACTGTATGTACATATTGTATATTCTTGGTTCTTTCGGTAAAGTCACGTAGAAGGGAAACAATAAAGTCATACAAATATATTATTAATAAAAAATATTTTATTTTATTGTTTCCCTTCTACGTGACTTTACCGAAAGAACCAAGAATATGAATCCCTGCAGTCACGAAAGCTTTAAATCAAAATACATACTGTATGTTGAACTTCTTTCGCACCGGACGTAGCCAGCCGTCTTAATCGGAGTGTGGGGATATCACACGCACGTGGTGAGTGTTTACGCTGTGCGCGGTGACGTCACCCGGAGTGGTGAGCGTGCGCGGTGACGTCACGCGGAGTGGTGAGCGTGCGCGGTGACGCCACGCAGAGTCGTGCGCGTGCGCGGTGACGTGAGAAGTGGTGAGCGTGCGCGGTGACGTCATGCGGAGTGGTGAGCGTGCGCGGTGACGTCATGCGGAGTGGTGAGCGTGCGCGGTGACGTCACGCGGAGTGGTGAGCGTGCGCGGTGACGTCACGCGGAGTGGTGAGCGTGCGCGGTGATGTCACGCGGAGTGGTGAGCGTGCGCGGTGACGTCACGCGGAGTGGTGAGCGTGCGCGGTGACGTCACGCGGAGTGGTGAGCGTGCGCGGTGACGTCACGCGGAGTGGTGAGCGTGCGCGGTGACGTCACGCGGAGTGGTGAGCGTGCGCGGTGACGTCGTGCGAGGCGCGTGACGGGGGTCACGCGAGGCGATGTCGCTGCTGGAGCGGCTGCGAGACGAGGAGCGGGAGCGGGTGAGGAGCAGACAAAGCGGCCCCGGGTAGTCCACGCGGCCTTCTGGGGCAAGTTGCTGCTAGCGAGCAGCGCCTGTGCTGGCGGGAACCTACGAGGTGGTGGTGGTGGTGTGGCGACAGCTGTCGGGGCCGCCTTTGTCTCCCTATAATGCTGACGTTTTATACACCACACTCGGTGCTCATTTGATGGCTAATCCACCTCGGGGTAGAACTGGGGTCGGCTTATTCAGATATTCGCCGTCACTGTTATTGGCCGTCGTGAGCGAAAATCGGAACTCGGATCGCCGGGTTCGAAGCGCAGTGCAGCGCGCTAATCACTGCGCCACCACTCCACCCACCGCACGCCCCGTGCACACTGCGTATGGACAGGCGTCTACTGTATATACAGTACGTTCAGGAGAGCTCGATGCCGATGCTGCTGGGGCTTCAGGAGGGTACGTTGGTGTCGTTCTGCCATCCCTACATTGAAGGAGCGCAGTCCAATACTGGACAGCGGTTTACTTTCGTGGTCCGTAGTTTGGCTTGCCTCCTCACCGTGGCTTGCGTCTTTAATGTGCCATTCATGAAGGAGGCGTGCGCATTGGCCTGTTGATGTTCTGATGCGGTGGACGGTTCCATCGCCGGCGTCTTCGACGAGGAATGCCATGGAGCCAGGAGGGAGGGTGCGACGTTTTCGGGATGGGATGAGGCGTTTATTATTGTGGACGTTCGCGTTGTTCCTCCTTCCGCCAGCGTTCTTCCGGCTCTGGGTGCGATTCTAGGATGGTGGCAGCAGCAGCAGCTTGATCCAAGAAGGGGGATCCGAAATTGAGTCGGAGCTGAGGGAGATTGTTGAGGCCTTGGCTGAGGGGTAGGTGGTGAGGCCACCGCGTAAACTCACTTGCAGTTTGCATGTTTCTGCGAACATTTGGTCGCAGGTTGGAACAGCGGGGAGCTGCATCTGCCAGTCATCTCTGGCAGGATATGAGGGTGTTAAACGGGCGCGGTACGGGCTATAGGAGAGACGGGCTGATGCGGGATACGGGAGGATGTGGAGCTGAGTGGACTTGCCAAAGTCCGGAAGCAGCGTTGTCAAGATCGGCCTCTGTGGAGGAGGAGGCTCGTGAAGGACGCTGCTGCTATGTCCTGTGTGGTTATGCATTGCTGTGTGGTGAGTTGGAGAGTGTCCTGTGTGGTGACTCGTGCTGTGTGGGGCATGGTGTTGTCAGTTTGTGCACGCAGTAGCCGATGGGCTGTGTGGACGGGCGTCTCCGCGGTACGTGGACTATGGGCACGTGTGGAGCCCGAGCGAGTGGCTCTCCGTGGTGCAGCAAACGCAGCGCGCCCTTCTGCAGGCCGTGCAGGATGGCCCCGGCAAAACGGAGGTGCGTGCAGCGGTGGCCGCGTGCTGGTCAAGTCAAGAGTGATCCGGCTCAAGTGAACATTGAGGTGTTGGTGCTCATCTCCTGTTTGCAGCCCTGCAAAGACGGTCGTGGAAGATTCCACGTTTCTACAGCGGCAGCGAGTCTCTCCCGTAGCACCACTGTTGACGATATTAATTATTGGTCAAATCAAGCCCCAAACGGTATATGGACGTATTGGCGGTGCAGCATAACACACCGGTCCTCATAAAACAGTATAAAATCTAAATTTGAATCGGCAAATCTGGTTTATCAGTATTTAATTGACCCTGTCGCCAAGTTTGACGCGATTCTAAGGTTTATTCAGTCTACTGAGACTTGCTAAAGAAGGTCAACATTGACCGTTGATTTGGGTCCGTTGAGTCCGTCCAAGTCTAGGACACAAGGAGTCAAATTTGCCTTGGGACACGGAGCAGCCAATCGTCATCATGCTGCTATACGGCAACAAACTGTGACTTCGATATAACAAAAACTGATATTGACGCACCATCAGCCCACAAGATTTTCTGACCAGGGTTGTGAATTGCATGTAAAAAAAAAACTTATAACGAAAAATGCGTGTTCTTTTTTTACTTCACCGGTGTACCGCCAATACGTTAATATGAACTCACAACCTTCTGATTGCGAGCAGCTCTCTCTACAACTGAGATGTTTGGCCGGATGGTTCGTATGTGTGCTGTATAAACGGGTAATGCATTCAAAGCATCTGGCAATGCAGAAACTGAAGGGTAATGCATAGCTTTTCGCATCCAATATTAGTATTCATGATTGATTTTGGGGGCTGGGCCACGTGGGTGAATGGTGCAGATGGCATCGTCAGAGCAGTTCGACTGAATTCCGTACAAGGTGCCATAAAGTTAGGAGAGCACTTACAGGTGGACAGGACTACGCATATGTGGACTGTAAAGGTAATTAATAACTACAGTATAATGTAAAAAACAAGTAATAAATGAACTCACATCAGCCACCAGAGCGATGACATCATGCCAACTATGTAGCATGGGGGTTGTCTTCTTGGCAGTTGATTGGCTGGTGCAGTGGGAGTGATAGCATAATCCATAGCAACCACTGCCATGCCCACTGTGTTGTATGTATGTCGAACGTCTTTGGCACTATACGTAGCCAATCGTGCTAATCGGAGGAGCGTTTTCTCTCAAGGCAAGTCTCACGACGATTACTGCTTGACGGACTTAGGACAAATGTAACGAGCGCTTGCTGTGTTCGGCTTGTTGCAGGAGCAGCCAGCCGTGCCGCGCAGCGTGGAGGCGTGCGTCGGCGTGCGCCGAGATGAGCTCCGCTCCGCTGTGACGTTGTCATCGCTTGCACTGGGGAGTGCGCAGCTCCGCGACTTTGACTGGAAACTCAAGGTGCTTTCTGCGTCATGAGCGAAGTCAAATATGTCACGAAATAACTAAGCGAATAATTTGGCCTCCTTCACATATCTGTCCCTCCATATAATTTTTGCTTTAGTGTTTCTATTCATATCCAATCAGACAAAGTCCTTCTGGGAGGAAATAATTTCAGCAGAATTGGTTCAGCACAAGCAAACAAAACCGGTTTTAACATTCAGGGTCATCAGCAAAATTTGGCTTGCGTCAACCAACACTTGTGTACTGGCAAATGTTTATACGCAAGGACCCTCTCAATATGGGTCCTGGCTTAACCTCTAAAGAACAATAAGATTCTAAAAAACATTTTCGTTTAAATATCCGAATCGAGCCCATGTAACTTCACTGGTGATATATGTATATTGAACTTCTTTCGCACCGTACGTAGCCAACCGTGCTAATCAGAGGTGCGGGAGAAAGATAAACTAAACACAAAAAGCAGTAAAAATATAGTTTTTAATATATATTTAAAAGGGCATAGCTCCAGTGGCTTCAAAATATCGGAAGGCACAGCATTCCAGACGACCACAGAAGCACATCTGAAAGCGCGCGATGAAGGACTAGCCAAAAGCTGCTGCGAGGATGACTGGAGTTCACGTGATGGTTTATGTTCCTTGAGGAGATAGTCTGAATGAAAACCGTGGTTTGTGTGCGTATCTGTGTGCGTAGCTGGCACTCTCAAGCGACCGCCACTCCGCGCTGCAGACACCGCTGCTGGCGCTGGCACTCGACGTACAACGTCACGACCCTCCGCACGATCCGCGCAGTGCGGTATGCGACACCTCACGTGATGCTGTGACTGTGGAGCTCTCTGCCGCAGAGCTGGGCACCCTCATCACGGCCTTGGAGAACGCCAGCAAGGTGTGATTGCTACCCCCTCCTCCTGCAGCAGTAACACCGGCCAGGTGGCTCAGTAGTTTGAGTGAGCGGCTCACAATCGGAAGGTTGGAATTTCAGATCCTGTTTGGGGGTTGCTCAGTTCATCATACCTCCATGATTCAATGAAATGAGTACCATTGTGGGAAAGTCCACAAGTGTTGTCCTATGAATAGAATCACCCCTGCCATGGAATTGCAGAATTTCCAGCCTTGGGAGATGAGCATCACCTCAGTGCTCATTTGAGCAGCTCAGAGGATAAAATCAGGTTTGACTGGCATGTGAAATGGGAGAGTGAACCCCCTATTGTTGGAAGACAAAAGACCACTTCAAAATTTCTGTGTGTCCCTTGCTTAGTCGTTCTCAGGATCGCAGGCGCATTACTCACTGAGAGTTTTAAAATAAATTCAGTCTCATTACACGATGCCAATAGCATGCTGGGAATAAAATTGGGAAACATTGCAAAAAAATAGTAAATATGCATGTGTGTGTGTCCTTTAGGTGGTGCAACAGCTGAAGTGAACCTGGACATGATTTGAAGATAACCCGTTGGCCGGCATTCCTACACCAACGCGGGCCAATACCTGTGTACTATTAAGAATAATGAAAGTAATCATCAGCCAACTGTCGAACCCTTCTGATACTGGTCTTTGTGATAAGTGTATTGCGAATACGTTTTTAAACATGTTTATAGCATTTCACTTGGAATTGATTTACATTGTAATATTTTCAAACATTGTCCACATTAAATTATAAAAATGCACAATGAATCCCAATGTAGCAGGACCCTCCTGAAAATGTATTTGGACTCTTTGGGTAAATAAGTCTTCATTATTATACCCCTGAGCTTACTACACACTTTCCCACTGAGCCACATGCCTCATCACTATTTGAGTTCATCAGAAACCACTGACCTCTACAGCATAAACTCCATCAGTGCGGTCTCCCACTGTGCACTAAAAACACATTCCTGCGGAGGCAGCTGGTAGGAACGTTGGGTTGCTCGGTCAATGGCCAGGGTCAATGGCCAGGGTCAACGGCGGCATGGTGTATTGCGCAAATATGCCCGACTGTGAGGGCGGGCACAAGCCGGCGTGAGTAGGTTAAACGTTGAGTTTTATAAGGGCACCACGGGGTGACCAGCCCCTCCCCACCCAGCCCCTCCCCACCCTCCCCTCCCCACTCAGCCCCACCCTCCCCACCCAGTCCTTCCCCACCCTCCCCTCACCACCCAGCCCCTCCCTCCCCACCCAGCCCCTCCCCACCCTCCCCTCTCCACCCAGCCCCACCCCTCCCATTTTTGGATGCACGACGGACGGATGGACACAATAATCCCCTGTGGGCTGGTGTAACTAGGAGGTTCCTACCAGTACTATTTGTATTCTACCAGGTAAGGCCCACATAGCTATATAGCTCTTTTTCAGAATCGACCTGGCCACAAAATGATATCTCAACGAAGTGGCTTATCATCACGTGGAAATGTATAATAGCCAAATACTCCTGAACACACTATGCACAGTCACATTAAAATGAGAGGACAGCCTGTCCTGTAGACGAGGTTATCTTCCCCATCAGCTCAGTCAACCTCAACTATTCTCCACATCCGAGTTTCTCCACCATAGTCTCGGCCCCAATTCTGCCACTCAACGGTCACCAGACACCCGACACTACTCGCCTGATGGTGTTACGAGTCACCACTCACCTGACACCACTGCCCGCCACCACAACTGACATCTGACCCTCACCAGACACCACTCACGAGACACCTCACCACTCCCACAACACCACTCACGAGACGCCTCACCACTCCCACAACACCACGAACGACACACCTCACCACTCCCACAACACCACTCGGCACTCACCAGACACTATTCTCCTGGAACTCGGCGAGCAGCGGCGACACTCTTGATATTGCAATGCGCTGAAGCACTTTACGGTGCAGTCGATGTATTCCACAGTCCATATAAGCCGATTTTTTTTAAAGTTTGAGGCAAAATTACACTTCCCTCATTCATTGTCATTCTTACCTAATTCAATCATTCCAATCATTAATTCACACACTTCCGCACTGCCCATAGGCTCTCGCACAGACCCACTGGCTGACCTCCCTGATGACCCCCCTCCCCATGACTTCCTGGGCCAGCCGTTGCTAGGGGTGCTGTTGCTAGGGGTGCCGTTGCTAGGGGTGCCGTTGCTCGGCTGACGGTCCTCACATCCAGCAGCAAAACATTTAATTTCGTAATGCACATAAGCATGATATATTTCCGGGGTTTTGAATTTTGTCCTCCACATGAGCACATTTTTGTTTCACGCCCATCTATACCATATTTGTACACATGGCTTGCAAAATGTGGATTTGTATAAGGTTTGTTCAAAGTACCGGAAACAGCAACATACAACGGAATCATTTTATATACGTAGATAATTGCATCATTGTGGAGAATATAACAAAATAGATAAACAGACAATTCGCCTTTTTCACATCCATCTCTCCACATTAAAAAATACAAGTATTGTTTACACATTCCGTCAGCCACACAGCCATCTGGCAATCGTTTCAGGAGCATATGTTCAACAAATGCACAGTTTTGACCGGTTTCAACATTCAGTGTCTCATCAACAGACAGGCTTGCTTGAAGACATGCTGGTAAACTGCCAGATGTTTAGAGGCAAGGACGCTCTTGTTAGATTTTCATCGTAGTTAAACTCAAAAGTCTGGTTATTTTTTTTATAATTAAGATCATGATTTTGATTATTTTGACAGTGGCGATGATAATCACATTGCATTATGGTGTGCCATTTACTTTGGAGTCTTCTCATGTCCTGTGAAAATATATAGGTCATTTTGCTTTTAACTAGACCACATTTGTCATTATTTGGGCATTCACACAAAACACATGAAATACCTGTACATGTTATCATTGCTGTACTTTAAGCTCTTGAGTGTATTTAAGGTGAGAACAAAAATGAGATGGAGTTGAGGGTGAGATTTAGGAAATAGGCAGTGAAAATATAATTGAGTGATACCATTTTAAGATGAGTGTGTTGCATCGTAACGGGTGGCTTGCACGTGGAACTAAGCGGCACGAGTGAAGATGATTGGTACGATCTGCAGGGCAGCAGAGGCTCAGAGGTGTAGCGACCCGCGCAGCACAATGCGGCTCTGCCCAGACACGCTCACCCGCCCGTGCTGCTGCTGCTGCAGGGACAGCTGCAGCTCCCCGCCGCGCGGGGAGCACTGCCTGGCTGTACATACAACAACAACAAGAGTCGGCTGTGCATTGTGGGCAAACGATTATTGAAAGTGCAATGCATCTTTACCTCCTCACAACCACCGACATGGTGCACGTAATTATGTTATTTTCCGGCAGTGATGTAGCACAGTTGGTAGCATATTTGCCACTTGTTGCAGAGGTTCGCGGTTCAAACGCAGCAGGCCGCCCTGGTTAATACTGCAGGTTTATTAACCATAAATTAACCTGTTGCAGTGGTGTCATGACTCACCTGTTAGCTCTTGCTTTCCAAGCTCCTTAGACCAATAGCTTGCCAGGACTGTGTGTGCAGATCCTGAGAATAAGTTAACAATGCATTCGTACTCTGCTCGGTTTGGAATAAACAAACTGCTATAGTAACACACTTTATAAATTGCAGATTCGTGCGTAAACCGGCCAGGTGGCTCAGTGGCAGAGCAAGCAATTGGAAGGTCTGTTTGTGGATTGACTCAGCCCATTTCCTTTATTTTACGGAGACACTCGCCACTGCCATAGGAATGTGGAATTTATACCACTGGCTCACGACTGTTAACAGCAGATGAGCACTAATGCCTCAATGCTCATATGACCAGAAATCGCTTCGACTTCTTTGAGCTTAATGCTTTACCCATTGCACTGCACTCAATAAGATTTTCTAAGATCTCTTGTTGGCTCGTGACCTCTGCTTCTACAGTGAGGGAAAAAAGTATTTCATTCACTGCTGATTTTGTACGTTTGCCCACTGACAAAGAAATGATCAGGCTATAATTTTAATGGTAGGTTTATTTGAACAGTGAGAGACAACAACAAAATCCAGAAAAACGCATGAGGGAAAAAAGTATTTGACCCCCCTGCAAATCATGACTTAGTACTTGGTGGCAAAACCCTTGTTGGCAATCACAGAGGTCAGACGTTTTTTTGTAGTTGGCCACCAGGTTTGCACACATCTCAGGAGGGATTTTGTTCCACTCCTTAATTACTTCTCCAAGTCATTAAGGTTTCGAGGCTGACGTTTGACAACTCTAACCTTCAGCTCCCTCCACAGATTTTCTATGGGATTAAGGTCTGGAGACTGGCTAGGCCACTCCAGGGCCTTACTGTGCTTCTTCTTGAGCCACTCCTTTGTTGCCTTGGCCGTGTGTTTTGGGTCATTGTCATGCTGGGATACCCATCCACGACCCATTTTCAATGCCCTGGCTGAGGGAAGGAGGTTATCACCCAAGATTTGACGGTACATGGCCCCATCCATCGTCCCTTTGATGCGGTGAAGTTGCCCTGTCCCCTTAGCAGAAAAACACCCTTAAAGCGTAATGTTTCCACCTCCATGTTTGACGGTGGGGATGGTGTTCTTGGGGTCATAGGCAGCATTCCTCCTCCTCCAAACACGGCGAGTTGAGTTGATGCCAAAGAGCTCCATTTTGGTCTCATCTGACCACAACACTTTCACCCAGTTGTCCTCTGAATCATTCAGATGTTCATTGGCAAACGTCAGACGGGCATGTATGTGCTTTCTTGAGCAGGGGGACCTTGCGGGCGCTGCAGGATTTCAGTCCTTCACAGCGTAGTGTGTTACCAATTGTTTTCTTGGTGACTATGGTCCCAGCTGCCTTGAGATCATTGACAAGATCCTCCCGTGTAGTTCTGGGCTGATTCCTCACCGTTCTCATGATCATTGCAACTTCTCGAGGTGAGATCTTGCATGGAGCCCCAGGCCGAGGGAGATTGACAGTTCTTTTGTGTTTCTTCCATTTGCGAATAATTGCACCAACTGTTGTCACCTTCTCACCAAGCTGCTTGGCAATGGTCTTGTAGCCTATTCCAGCCTTGTGTAGGTCTACAATCTTGTCCCTGACATCCTTGGAGAGCTCTTTGGTCTTGGCCATGGTGGAGAGTTTGGAATCTGATTGATTACTTCTGTGGACAGGTGTCTTTATACAGGTAACAAGCTGACAGGAGCACTCCCTTTAAGAGTGTGCTCCTAATCTCAGCTCGTTACCTGTATAAAAGACACCTGGGAGCCAGAAATCTTTCTGATTGAGAGGGGGTCAAATACTTATTTCCCTCATTAAAATGCAAATCAATTTATAATAATTTTGACATGCGTTTTTCTGGATTTTGTTGTTGTTATTCTGTCTCTCAATGTTCAAATAAACCTACCATTAAAATTATAGACTGATAATTTATTTGTCAGTGGGCAAATGTACAAAATCAGCGGGGGATCAAATACTTTTTTCCCTCAGTAAAGCCTTCAAAGAGCCTTGACATATTTTGACAGCATATGGCATATCTGGTCTACACATGCCCATGTGCCAGCTGATATGATGATATTAACTTTTGTAACTTTGGGTGGTAGGGTGCTGTGCGTCTCACAGCAAGAAGAAACGGAGTTCAATTCCCAACTTTGGCATTTTGGTGGGTCGTGTTTTGTGTTCTCTCCCCTGTTCTGCATGGGTTTCCTGCCAAAGCGAAACATGATGGCTATTGGCCAAACTTCCAATGCTGAAAGATTACCTTTCAATTTACTCAATTTTGATTACACGTAGCAACATCGCCACCCTAATGAGAGAACGTGGCAAGACGCTCCTGAAAAAAATAGAGAATTGGCGAGGGTAAGGAAGCCATCTCATAATAATAAGTTATCACAAAGCACTCGCCCCCTCCCCTGGTCCCGTGCGCTCGCATGCTCGCTCACCAGTGACGGGGTCCTCATTGATGCCCACCCAGGGAGCGAAGTAGCGAGAGTAGAAGTCAATCCGATCCCCCCCGCAGCCACGCAGCGTCACGATAACGCCCATCACGTCGGGGCTCCCACTGGCTCGCTCGGTGCGCAACAGTGAGCCCGGATCGATCGGCAGCCGCTCCAGATCCTGCCTGTGAACATCGCTACTCGTCAAAACGCCTCACTTGGAAAATTGCTTGAGGTTGAAAAACGTTGTCCGTGAGGGTGTCTATTCTTTTTAACTTAAGCACCGCACTGCTCGGCGTTGGAATTCCCTCCCATCCCTTTTTCCCAAGCTCCTTGACTTGCCACTTGATGTGGTGGGCCTCTGCTCAATAACAACACATACAAACATGCTAAATCTATAGCATACAACATGTATGTATCCAATGAATATCACACCCAATCAAATAAATAACAAATAGTTAACGAGTGCACACCGTCGGCTCATGTAGAATGATGTACGCTCGCTCGTAATAGTTGAAAACCATGTGCAAGTCGGTTTTAAATAGGTTTAAATAAGTTGATGGGACATGTCAGTGTGTCTGTGAGTTCATTAGATATCGAAGCAGCTCTCTGTTTCTAAATCAGAACGTGCCTGTTCATGTTTCTACTTTAGGGACACCGGTAACATACTAATAGCACATCACTTCTATGAGTCAAGAATGTCTGTGTGTAATGCGCGTGACGTCACTCACGTCGACCAGCCCCCCTCATTAATTATCATGAAAAGGTGGGGTCCTCCACATGGACCCCCCCCCCCCCGCGTCATTAATAATCATGAACGGGTGACGTCACTCCGCATGAAGGTGGAGCGGAAACGAAAATGTGTTTACGCAAATTAGCTTTCATTTTGACCTGTCTTTATGGAAAGTAAAGCTAATAAAGAAATCAACGCAGCAACTAATATAACGAGCAAAAAAATGCTGTCGGTGTGTCCCGCGCGTGACGTCACCCCACATGCGGCCCTCCCCCCCTCATTATTATTCATGTATGCCTGGATTTGTTGACTAATGCAGAAGGTCGAGCGGCAATGATACATTTTTTACGCAAATTCGCTTTCGACTTTACGTATCTTTGTAGAAAGTGAGGGCAATAAATAATTCTACGCCGCATCACAGTGCATTGGGTGCCTTTATTTCTTCGGCACGTCCAACAAAAGGTAAGTCTACTTTACGCTTCCAAATAATGCTACAATAAACATTTCTCTTCTACTATGTAGACATTGTATCGAATTCCAATTGTTTCCAACCCCAGCGAGCCACAGCGGAAGATAAGTGTATCAGAGCAGTGGATTGCAAGTAATTGAACGTCCGTTAAATAAAGTGCTACTGTGACATTACGTCAGGTGTTTGATGACTTAGTTTCCTGCAACAGCCACTGCCATTAATGCAGTGCTGCGGTCAAATGCTGTGAGGTGTTGTATGACTTCCTTTTGTGAACCATTCACTGCCATTAATACAGTGCTACAGTGAAATGCAGTAAAGTGTTTGATGACATTCTTTTTTTCAATATTCCCTGCCATTACATTTCGACAAGATAAAATTCTACTTTGATCAATTTATTCGTAACTCTAACGCTTCTCTTTGGTCTTCGTTATTTGCTAAGTTACTTCAGACAGTATCAGCACTCTACTTTCTTCACTCTTCGCTATCAAGCGTCAATTGGTGAAGATACATTTGTCAGTTAACAGCTTCAGGTGATTTCAATACAGTGCTAAAGTGAATTCATGGGTTATGTCAAATTATACAGCCACAGAGATTGTTCACCTTTGCCTATTGTGTAAGATACCGAAGAGTCCCTGGTCAAAACATTTACCAATTTGCTTATTTTGCCTGTATGCTAGCTAGATTTGTCCCCTCTGCAGATCACACTGCCCCTATAGTGTCTAAAAAGCGCTGTCTAGATCTAAATATCCTCAGCGGATCAAAGTGTTCATAAAGGATAGCCAAGTGCAGGGAAACCTTTTCAACAGTGATAAGAGATTCACACAAAATATCGTATACCGAGAAATCTTCCAAAGTCCTTCATTTCATTTAATAAGTTAAGGAATATGTCTTTATGTGCTACATTTCCTAATAAAATGAACAATCACATAATAAAACGTTAATTTAAATTTTTTATATTACAGCTTCCATCCTAGGACAGGCTAACAAGCTAACGGTTTAATTAAAGTACAAGGATAATAATGCTGTGTAAAGCATCATTATTAATATACGTTTGTTACCAGGAAAAAAGCCTTGAGATTTTTGACGGGAGGGTCCTCCTAGGTTTTTGCAGTAGGGGATACCAATTGCTATTTGAACCATGACGGCAGTGTCAAATGACATACGGTACTCTTCGAATGATGTCACAGGATCTTCCATATCTACCGTGAAGCAGATGCCGCATATTATTTCAAAAGGTGAATACACCCGCAGTATTACCCGGGGCCGGCTAGATTCAAACTGCGGACCTCTGCAGCAAGCAGCGAATGCGCTACCGCCCGGGTCCACGTCACCGCCCCCCATATACAAGAAGGTCATGTGATGGGGGGTTAAACACAAAACCGTCCAGCTTGGCGCACCTGGTATAGACGTCGCTCAACCGGATGAGCAGTTTACAAGTGCCAGGTGAGTAGCGGACGTCCTGCACGCTCATCTCTCCAACCGCCACCTGCGCAAACGCCAAGCGCCACACCCCCAGCGCACCCAGCCAGCAACGGGGGCAGCACGTCAGGGTTTGTGATGCTCTACAGCATGGTGACACTGACCAATCACAAAGCACTCTCTTATATCACGGTTGTGAAATAATGCACAAGAGGAAGCACGTGCAGCTAAAGGACCGCATTCTTTTTTCACGTGAGCGTTTCTTGCAATTTAAATCTATCGATAAGAACATGTGCAAAAATTACCCGGCAACAATGACAACACACTCATGTAATCAATCCTTCACATTTGTAATTTCTCCTGCACATTATCCATGCCACAGCCGCTGGTGAGAAGCGCTGGTATAGCGTCTAGGGCAGTGGTTCTTAACCTGGGTTCGATCGAACCCCAGGGGTTCGGTGAGTCGATCTCAGGGGTTCGGCAGAGCCCCCGCCACGGAGGTCCGGACACACTTGAATTATTGTGTAAATTTGTGATGACACACACGGCCCGCTTGGCCATCACTGGCTGCAGATGATCATGCTACACTGCTTGGCCAATCAGCGCTGCGGGGAATTTAGTGCGTACTCAGTAGTCAACGTGTGACTGTTGTTGTCGTACGTCGTGTGATTTCTTTAATATTTTATCCATACTAACTATGTCGGGCAAAAGAAGAAAGTGGTCGGACGAATATGTACAACATGGATTCTCATGTATCACGGAACGTGATGGGAGTGAGCGTCCTATCTGCATGATTTGCAACGCCAAGTTGAGCAACTCTAGTCTTGCACCGGCAAAACTAAAGGAACACTTCTTGAAGCTGCATGGAGACGGGGAATACAAGAACACAACACTTGCTGAATTCAGGGTGAAGAGAGCCAGATTCGATGAAAGGGCCACTCTGCCTGCTCTTGGATTTGTACTTGTTAACAAACCGATCCTGACAGCATCGTACGAAGTTGCTTACCTGATCGCAAAGCAGGGCAAGCCACACATCATTGGTGAAACACTTGTGAAACCAGCTGCATTAAAGATGGCGAATCTGATACTCGGAACAGCGGCCGAAGGTAAATTATCCCAAATTCCCCTTTCAAATGACACCGTCAGTGACAGAATAGAAGACATGAGTAAAGACATCTTGGCTCAAGTAGTCGCGGATCTGATTTCAAGCCCGGCAAAATTCAGCCTTCAACTCGACGAAACCACAGACGTTTCTGATCTAAGCCAGCTTGCTGTTTTTGTACGCTATGTGAAAGACGACATGATAAAAGAAGAGTTTTTATTTTGTAAGCCTCTTACAACAACAACGAAGGCAGCCGATATGAAGAAGCTTGTGGATGACTTCTTCAGAGACAACAATCTTTCATGGGATATGGTTTCTGCAGTTTGTACGGACGGAGCTCCAGTCATGCTGGGAAGAAAGTCTGGTTTTGGTGCGCTAGTAAAGGCCGATGCACCACACATCATTGTGACGCATTGTATTCTGCACAGGCATGCGTTGGCAATAAAAACCTTACCTCCAAAAATGGCAGAAGTATTAAAAACTGTGGTGGAATGTGTGAACTATGTGCGAAAAAGTGCTCTGAGGCACCGCATCTTCAGTGAGCAGTGTAAAGAAATGGGCTCTGAATTTGAGGTACTTCTGCTCCATTCTAATATTCGGTGGTTATCCCGGGGACAGGTGCTGAATCGTGTTTTTGCCATGCGTGTGGAATTAGCCCTGTTTTTGCAAGAGCACCAACACTGCCATGCAGATTGCTTCAAAAATCCTGAGTTCATTCTCATTTTAGCGTACATGGCTGATATATTCGCAGCTCTCAATCATCTCAATCAGCAGATGCAGGGTGGTGGAGTCAATATCATGGAAGCGGAAGAACACCTGAAGGCTTTTCAAAAAAAGCTACCGTTATGGAAACGACGAACAGAGAACAATAACTTCGCAAACTTCCCGCTTCTGGACGACTGTGCAAGTAAGATCGAAGATGTGTCTGGAATCGGAGATATTTCTGTATCCACGGAACTGAAGCAAACAATTGCCACGCACTTAGATGAGCTTGCAAAGTCTCTCGACGGATATTTCCCTACAAGAGAGTCATATCCAGCATGGGTGAGACAGCCGTTCACGTTTGCTGTTGAAACAGCAGATGTCAATGATGAATTCCTCGACGAAATCATTGAAATTCAGCAGAGCCAGGTTCAACAGCAACTCTTCAGAACAACAACGCTCTCAACGTTTTGGTGTCGACAAATGAACAAGTATACAGTTATTGCTAAGAAAGCCCTGGATTTTTTTATACCATTTGTTACAACATATTTTTGTGAGCAATCCTTTTCGAGGATGCTGGACATAAAAACGAAGAAAAGGAACAGACTTTGCTGTGAAAATGACATGAGAGTGGCACTTGCCAAGGTGAAGCCACGCATATCTGAACTGATCTCTCAAAGGCAACAGCAGAAGTCACATTGATTTCCAGGTATGTAATTTGTTGTGAGTTTATGCATTGTGTTGGTTTTATTCTTTGAACAAGGTAATGTTCATGCACGGCTCATTTTGTGTACCAGTAAAAAACATATCTACGTCTTGAATTTGAAAAAAATCACATTTTATTTTTCACTAAAGAGGGGTTCGGTGAATGCGCATATGAAACTGGTGGGGTTCGGTACCTCCAACAAGGTTAAGAACCACTGGTCTAGGGCAATGGTTTCCTACCTTTCTGGGATTGTGGGCGATGGGCAATCCTCAACAGCTATGTGTGGAATCATCAGAAATTAAATAATTTGTTGGGTTTTTTTGTCAAGTAGGCAATGCACCATTTAGTGAAATTTGCCATTCGCAAGATCTTTTTACCGAGGACAAAGGTCACGTTATTCATACAGTCATCTTCAACAACACAGATCCCTTGTTCTGGTCAAAATGTGCTATTTAGGTGTACAATTACTCAAGTGTCTGACAGTATAATTTTAACTCTTCTATATTGCCCATTCTCTTCCGCTCCCCTCGCCCCTCCACTCTTTCCCGTCCTTTCGTGATCCATAAGTTACCCCTCTAGTGCTGTCACTCATTCCTCAATCCTTGTATCGCGCCGCTACGAACGACATCGTTCCATTCTGTCATCGTGTAAGTTATGTCAAGCGCCTTGAGTGAAGGCGCTCTGTAAATATAAATTAGATTCGATGTATTAAGATATTACACATGACAATCCCTTGAGATGTAACATCTCGTTTGCAGGGTATCCAGGGTGTAACCACGCGCCACATATATATAAACATATGGATGGATATCCATGAGCTTTGTCAAAATAGCTCAACAAAGCACGCACACTTATGCAACACGTTTAAATAAAACAAAGACAATAATAAGCCTTACCTGAATCAGTTTCTTAAATTCATCTTTCTCCTAAAACAGACATGTCATAATTATTTAGCGTATAAAAAAATCAAACATTCCCGCCATGGAAAAATTTGATGGCATAAGTGATGGTGAAAATGTTTTTTAAAAGTACCACTCGCAAATTTTTTAAGACAAAACCTTGTTGTAATTTTTTTAGTGAACAGGTGACCGACACATTAGGCACATAACAATGCACCGAGTATCAACTAGAATTGATTCTTCCGCTCGTAAATCCATACGTCCCATGGCGAACACAATCACTAGAGTTTATATTTCTGCTGAGCACCGATAAGGTGCCATGATATGTTCTGGCTTCACCCCACAGTCCTTTGGATGTGTGCGGTTCACCCGCGATGGCAGAGCATCGTGTGCCTCTCGCAGCTAGCACAGAGTGCTGGAGGTACAAGTCTCTTCTCTGTCTTCCTCACCTGCAGCGGCTCGGTGGGATTGAGTGGCAGGTCCAGCGCGATGTGATCCCCTTCATGCCAAGCTGCGAGCTCACCGCTCAACGTATGGAATGCGAGCCGTGCGTTGGTGTTGCCTGCCACAACACCGAAATGGACGCGCAAAAGACACCGCCATATCAGCGAAACAGGGACCGTGGAAGTATGGCAGTAGCCTTTGCATTACCAGATAAGCCCAGAAAGATGATGGGCCTGATTCGTGCTGTGATATTTGGCCATCGATGGAAAACTTATTTGGCGGAACGTTGGCTGAATTTGTGGAAAAACAGCCTCACATCACAATTTGCACCTCGCGTGCGGCCTATTCCGCACATACGCACACACCCACTCCACTACTTCTCACAGCACAATTGCAGAATCACCCAAAAGCGGGTGGGTTTAGAGTTGAGCCAACGGTAGCAGATCGGCACCTATTCCAAAAACCAAACCCGGACACATTCCTCAGTCTGTCTCGACCAGGGGTCGGCAACCTGCGGCTCCAGAGCCACATGTGGTGGCTCTTTGGCCGTAACCTTGCGGGCAGCCGTTAAAAAAAAAACATTTTTAATCTTCAACATAATCTAACGTAAAGATAACTGATTACATATGGCAGGAAACGGGTTACTATGGAATGTTGTTGGTGACAACAACATTTTGTAAACCGTATTGTTAAGGGGGGAAATAAACAAAATATACAGTTTATTCCATAATCTATTTTGTTTAAGTCAGAATGTGTGTTGTTGTTATCTGCTGTATACCCGCTGCTGTGTTTGTGTACAAGTGGCTCTGCGTGTGATGCGGATTTCCAACTATTTTGGTCAAAGACAAAAACAAAACAAAATGGATCTCCTTTTTCTTTGAAAGGTCCCCGACCTAGATCAATCAGAAGTGTTCATTCTACTACAACAAAGTTCAATGCAATACCATCACCAGATCTCAGTACGAATCAGTTCCTGCCACTGGAACACAGATGTCCATTTCCAGACCGTCTGGATCAAACCCGAGCAGGTGATAACCCTTTTCTTTTAAATCGCAAAAATAGCGTAACAGAGAACTTCCTGCACCATTGTTGCTCTGTATCGCTCAGTCTTAACCCTGTCCACTTTGACTCAAGTCACAAGTGTTGATGTTTCTTGCTGTGTTGAAATTACAGGTTTCAAGTGACCAATCGTGACCTAGGGTATTGACCCAACACAGAAGATCCCTGGGTTTGAAATTCCAGGAAGCTCATGGCATATAATGATGCAATGCCCACAAATACGAAGGAGACATTACAGCAATTCACTCCGCTGCTCCTGACACGGTTATCTGGCTTGACCACCTGAATGTGAAATTGTAGTTGTTGCTCTGCACGTACAGCAGGGATACGAAAGTAGAAGAGACCTGGGTTATGTTTGCCAATTGGGGGCAATGACTGCGTTAAGCACAGTAATTCCAATTTAACAATTTGGTGTGCGTGTGTGCACGGGTGGTGTGTGTCGTGTGGTTGGAGACCGAATTGTGACTTGCCGAGAGAATGCAGGATCGCGGCAGTGGCGAGGGTGGCGTGTCCACAGAGCGCCACTTCTCGGCTCGGCGTGAACCAGCGCAGACCGAACTGCGTGGCTGAGAAGAGACGGACCACGGGCGGTAAATGTTGTGTGCCGTTGCAATACGAGACACGTTCAGAAATCAGAAGTTTATTTCCCACTGAGTAAAGCCCATCGAGCTTAGAAGCTCTTTTTTCAAGGGTGACTCGGCCAGCAGACAATATCAAAGTATTCTGTAATTGCAGTTACACTCCAAGTGCATTCATAACTAGGGTTGTTAAACAGCAGCCGGTAAAATGTTAACCGGTAACCATTATCACAATTGGTTTACCGGTTCTGAAAGTATGCAGGAAGCGGTAACTGTTTTCAGTGGAATATTAGTACCGTAATGACTCCACCAATTGGAACCAACATACAAACTGCACAATGGCCTGGCAACAGTTTATTGGTTAAAAGGTGTCAGATGGATCTCATGCAACTCATAAACTCCGCCAATTCGGTTGCATTGGATTGTTGCAGCCAATTGGCTGGAAACCATGTCCTTTAAACCCCCGAAAAGCCCTGGGAGACGACTGGGGATGGACACCAGAGTGTAAGCAGTGGCTGTCGCCACACTCCACAATGCCTGGAATGTAAAGGGTTCAAGAGTTGAGGCTCCTCTAATCTGTGGTCTGATTGATTTTCTGATGATACTGTTTCCTAACTTTTATTCTCTTGCAGAAGCGTTCCAGCTGTTGAAACCATTGCCGTGGTTTTGCATCGTTTGTTTTGAGTTCATTCAAACTATGAACTAAACTATTTGTTTTATTTGACCAGGTATGGCCCACTAAGCTCTGTAGCTCTTTTTCAGAAACGACCTGGCTATCAAAAATGATCGCTCAACAAGGTGGCTTATCATCACATGGACATCTATAGCAGCCAGATACTCAAAACACATGTTTCTAAATGTGGAGGGAAAAACTGGAGGACCTGGAGAAAAATCTACGCGGCCACAGGGGGAGAGAGAGACATGAATACTCCAAATATACACGCGTCAGGGTCTGGACTGAACCCACTCGACCTCCTATATACTAGGCGAGGTATTTAACATCTCGCCATCACATTCAATGCATGGTACAGAGCCTGTTATTCAGTTAACAGCTCAGGGGGCTGCCGCTTTGCCCAGGAAGAGGGATTTATTTGCAGGGCATATAAAGCAATGGGCTCATTATGCCCATACTTTTCCCCGTTGGTAGTTTTGCCCCGTGGCGAACTGGTAGAATAACTGGTAGCATAACTGGTAGTATAACTGGTAGTATAACCGGTAGAATAACCAGTAGTATAACCGGTAGTATAACCGGTAGTATAACCGGTAGTATAACCGGTAGTATAACCGGTAGTATAACGCAGCGTGATTTTTATGTCTTCAGTGCATTCCACTCGTTTCTGTAGACGATTTTAATGTCGTGGATAGTTTTTCCACCGCCTGACCAGGGTCCAACAACCAATACGTGTTGGCAGCGATTGTTAAATGGGAGAGAGGTTTGGGCCAGGAGGACAATATGATGAGAGTGAGGTGGTACTGCAGACAGCCAATCGTGGGGGAGATATTTTTTGTTTCAGTGAGGAACCGAAGTGGGGGCGAAGGGGTGGCAGAAAAGACGGTGGTGTGGCTGCCACATTGCCACGAGGGGGGGGGGGGGGCGGGAAGTTGTGTTTTGCTTGGGTCTACATAGAGTGGGTCTAAATGTAGTTCAAATACTGGATTCAATTGACTCCTCTCTCGCCTGGTAATGTATATTATTACAACGAGATCCCCCGTATAGCCTTAACAGACTTTTGTGGAAAGTGCTGTTAGCGAGCACCTATGAAGGCTGGAATGGCACAACACCACGCCCGACCGCCTTTGTCTCCCCAGTGGCGATGTTTCATCCACACAGCGCCAGGTAACTCATTTGAGGCTGAGGCGACCTAGGGGATGCCCAACACCGGTTCGGATATTCTTCTTCACCGATGTTGGTCGTGAGCAGGAATCGAACTCGGGTTGCTGGGTTCGTAGCGCAGTGCACTAACCACTGGACTAACCACTCTATTGATGATGTGTACAGTAGTAACCCACCAGCGGCATTGCCTTACGGTATTATCGAGCTCACGTTCTGCTGCCTCAGTCACTACAGAAGCACCAGTCCCGGCTTGCCTCCCTGCTATCAACCACTCCTCGCACTGGTGTACACGCGAGCACGCATGGAGTGGAAACGTGCAAGTGTGGTGCGAAATAAGCAAGGAACTGCCATAGGGGTGTTAATGGTTACCACGCTGGACTTGCAATCCAAAGGTCAATGGTTAAATTCGGGTCGAACGTGGGGGCAGGTTTCTTAAATCACCCCCTCCCGCCTCGATTCACCCAGCAGCAGTATGAACGGGTTCACCAAAGTTAGCCGATTGGGCAGGTTGCGCGTGGTGGGGTCAGTGTGGGTCTACTCCCACCTCTTCCAACACGGTGTGGGCGGCGTGGAAGAGGAGAGCAAGTACGCCCCAGAGCTCTCTCTAGTGGGAGGCCCTTCCGCCAGCAGTGGCGTGAGCGAGCAATTGCAGGGCTGCGCCTTTAACTTGTACTGACGTTTGGGGCTGCTGACCTGAACTGAAGTCGTCCATTGGAGAAAGCGTGCGCACAAACGCCGTTTCTGACAGGTTCATCTCTGCCGCAATCTTCTGATGCATCTCCTCTGCCAGATCCTGCAGGAGACATGATGGCCAGGAGACAAAAACCCGCCGAATAAACGTAAGTCTTAGTATAAGAATTGGCTTTACCCTTCCTGCAATGAAACAGTTTGTGTTCAGATGTTAAAACACCAAACAGAAACCTTTTGTAAGGAATCAGGTCCGCATTAACCACACACAGGACTTGTGGTGAACATGCAAAGAAAAAACATGCTCTGGTAGTATATGATGCATTTGTTTGCAACTGATTGGTCCACACCAGAGACAACTTTCTTTAGAGCCTAGTCTCAAAGTGTTAGACCAGAGAATGCTAAAAGGCTACCAGCACAATTTAATCATTCTCTGAGGTGAGTATAATGTGATTAAAAACAACGGCGCTATGCCTTTCTAAATAAAATTCGTGCTGTCTGCCTTTTGGTGTTCTCTGGTCTAATACTGCTTGTGACTAGGCCAAAAATAGACTTGACAATTACACTCTCCATAATCACCATCAACTCTCCCTTTGTGATTTAAAAAAAATGGTTGCTTTTCACAAGTCTGGCGATCTCCACTCTTCTCACCGCACTGATGCCAACCATGATAATGAACAAGTAAACCATATTGTAATATATAAGGGTATTAACCAACCTTCTAAATAATTATTTGGTGATGCTGCGGCTGCATTGGCAGCGGTGAAAACACTCTGTACAAAAAAAGATTAAAAAACAGTCAATAACATTGTGCCATTAAAATGAAAAAATATAGAAATAGGTGACGTTCAGAGCAATGGCCCTTCATAGCACATCGGCCAGAGAGACGACTTCATCACCAAAGCAGGTCGAAGTTGCAGCAACAAAGTTGTGAGTAGTAAGATTGCCATTGGAACGCGAGAGAGGAGCATCTTTTCTAATAGCCAGCAAAGACGTGAAAATAATGAATATAATTTTTTTAAGAAATCGAGGAAATGAGAGTTGAAAACCACAAATGGTGAAAATAAATAAACATAATACGTCTCCTGCACACATGTCCCATATAAACAATGCAAGAATGTACTCTTTGGTTCTATTCGGTAAAGTCACGTAGGTAAAAAATAAAACAAAAATCACGACGTTTCGGCCACAACACAAGTGGCCTTCATCAGGTGAAGGGGGATGAAGGCCACTTGTGTTGTGGCCGAAACTTCGTGATTTTTGTTTTATTTTTTACCTACGTGACTTTACCGAATAGAACCAAAGAGTATGGATCCTTGCAGTCACGAAAGTTTCAAATCTAGAAATGCAAGAATGTATTTATTGCACATCCCATCAGCCACATGACCTGGGAATGCATAATTTGAGCAGCATTGGTATAACACAAGAAGCACTCTGAACTCGGTGTCTCAACGGCAGATTCAGGCTCGCTTGAGTCAAAGTTGCTGAAATGATGCACTCGCAACAAGGAGGCCATGCGTGTGGCTGATGTGTAAATATGACACGTGTGTGTTGTATGTGGGGGGGCAGCTATGTAAAGGAGGAAGCATGTCCGATTATTAATGTAGTTATATTCTCCACAATGCACCCCACGGTAACCGTACTACTGGACGTCTGTGAAAAAGAGCTTTATAGCTCTATGGATTCCTCCAGTCTAAATAAATATTCGGATTCTTCTGCTGCCTCTGCTGCAGCAGCGCGCAAACCCTGTGCCATACGGCGACCAGCATGCGCCACGATGGCGAACGTGTCAGACTTGGTGAGGGCGCTTTTGAGTGACTGCGGTCCCGAAGAGGCAGCCTCCAAGCTCACCTGGCCGAGCAGACACACGGCGGCAGGGTTGCCGCTCAGAGGCACGCTTGTGAACGCGTCCACCACGAATACAGGCAGCTCCATCCCTCTCGATCGCCGCACTCACCCGGCAATCTCGCTTTCACTGGAGCGTGCACCTGAGTATGTGTGTGTGTGTGATTGGTGAACACTTACGAAGACGCAACTGAATGGTTAGCTGAGCGAGTTGTGAAAGTGTGTCATTATTTAGCATGCACAGTTGAAGAGAGAGTGGAGGGTGGTGCTGGGGGCCGAGTGGGCACCGTGGAGCCGCCCCCATTGCTCATTGGGCGCCTGCGTGGCCCCGGGCAGAGGGAGGGCGGCGGCGACTGCACAACAAAGAGACGAACAGAGAAGTGTCGGGAGCGGTGGGGCAGTGGTTAGCACACTGTGTGTTGGGGAGCGGTGGGGCAGTGGTTAGCACACTGTGTGTGTGGGGAGCGGTGTGAAAGTGGTCAGCGCACTGTGTGGGGGGAGTGGTGGTGCAGTGGTTAGCACACTGTGTGTGTGGGCAGTGGTGGGGAAGTGGTTAGCGCAAAGTGTGTGGGGAGCGGTGGTGCAGTGGTTAGCACACTGTGTGTGGGGGGAGTGGTGGTGCAGTGGTTAGCACACTGTGTGTGGGGAGAGTGGTGGAGCAGTGGTTAGCGCACTGTATGTGGGGAGCGGTGTGGAAGTAGTTAGCACACTGTGTGGGGGGAGTGGTGGTGCAGTGGTTAGCACACTGTGTGTGTGGGGAGTGGTGTGAAAGTGGTTAGTACACTGTGTGTGGGGAGTGGTGGGGCAGTGGTTAGTACACTGTGTGTGGGGAGTGGTGGGGCAGTGGTTAGCACACTGTGTGTGGGGAGTGGTGGGGTAGTGGTTAGTGCGCCGCACTATGAACCCGGCAACCCCAGTTTGTTTCCCGCTCATGACCAACAGTAGTGACGATGATCTCAACCGGTCCTGGGCCTCTCCTACGTCGACTCAGCCTCAAATGAGTACCTGGTGCGGTGTGTAAACATCGCCACTGGGGAGACAAAGGCGGCCGGGCGTGGTGCTGGCCACCCACCCCCTCGTGTGCCGTGCCGGCCTTCATAGGTGCTCGCTAACAGCACTTGCCCCTACAGTCTGTGAAGGCTACACGGGAAATCTTCATACTGTGTTCGATGTGTGTCAAGAGTGCAGTGCGACTGTGACTATTTGTAGTGAATAAATGTGACATTCTTTTTAAACAGCAGACTGAGATATTAAACGAGAGGACACTCCATGGGATTGTATATAGGATTCATACTCCGGTTGCCACCTTTTACATTGCAGACCAAACCGAAATATATTTCTTAGCACGAGGCCTACGTCTAAACTGTGGGGCCGTCCATAAATGACGTCAGACCGCCCCCTCAAATATGACGTCACAAAGCTCTGCCCCCCCCCCCAACCATATTTCCATTTTTAAAAGAAAACATGCTTCAAATCGCTTTAAACTATTGTCATTGTAGTGCCTATTTAATGTGGCGCTGCACTCTGATGTTGTAGGAGTGTTGTTATAACAATTCTATATTTATTTCAAGTTGCGCATTTTGATGTGACGTCACATTTCTCCAACCCCCCCCCCCCTCGTCACATTGTCACAAATGTCTGACCCCCCCCCTATGTGCGTGACGTCATTTATGGACGGCCCCTATGCAGTATGATGCATTATATAGTTAAAAAAATAACTTTCTACAGGGTCGTTCGCGCAAAATTGCATCTCACAAACGCTGTACGAGAGATAAACAGCACACAAAACTAAGGTCAATTAAAGACCAGAGTAAGCTTTAAGGCTTTTAAATGAGAATCAAATAGTTGGAAGGGACTTCATTTGCCGAATGTGGAGCCGGAGTGCGCTCCGCTTCGCGGGAGCTGCAGATACGAAGGCGGAACGCGCACCCACCCACTGTCTGGCATTTACTACTACAATGAGCCAAGAATGTCTGTGTCCCGCGCGTGACGTCACTCCACGTCGGCCTCATTAACTCATGAACAGATGACGTCCTCCACATGGACCCCCCTCCCCCCTCATTAATAACCATGAGCAGGTGACATCACTCTACATGTAGCACCCCCCCTCATTAATAATCATGAGTAAGTGACGTCACTCCACATCGAACATCTTCCAACATTAATAATCATGAACAGATGACGTCTTCCAAATGAACACCCCCCCCCGCCATTAATAATTAGCGGGTGACGTCACTCCACATGGGGGGGCGAGGCGCCTCCTTTCCCCTCCTCAGCGTCAACTCACAACCCTCGCTACAAAGGCAGAACGCTCACGTCATCACGTGATCTCCGTAACGCTGTTGTTGAGACATCGAAGTAAAAGGACGTCATAATGAACAATGGATTATAACCTCTAAATGAAATAAGTCTGTGTCACCGCGGCCTTACAAATTGCACACGAATGGATGAAATTAATATCACGTCACGGTCTGCTTTTCGCTTGCAAGTTTCAGATTTACTGCAATACACCCATCCTTGGACGGGCAAAAGGCTAGTTTCATAACAACAAACATAGTTTAACTTTATAAAACTCCCTGAAACAATAGTTTTCAAGGCGCGCTAACTTGAGGTGAAACGAGTAGTTCCATAGCAGATGAACGAAGTCCCCTGGACGGGATGTAGGTTGCAATGAGGGGGCGGTGGGGGGGGGATAGATTGGCCGAGGCAAGTCCATTCAACGTTTTATCCACCATGAGTGAAATCTTAACCTTGATTTGAAAACAGGTGGGGGGGGGGGGCAATGAAAGGAATATATAACAGAGAGTAATATACTCTTTGGTTCTTTCGGTAAAGTCATGTAGGTAGAAAAATAATAGATCACGATGTTTCGATCGCAACACAAGCAATCATCATCAGGTGGGACAACCACAGCAAGAATTAACTGCTGAAGTAGGCGAGAGATCTGCCATGGCACGAGGTTATATGGTAGGCCTCGGCAGTAGGGGGGTGAGAGAGAAGGGGGGGGGGGGAAGCAGGCAGGGCAGGAAGTGGACCCCACAGCAGCACCCGGGTCACTGGAGTAAAGTGGGCCACCGCGGCAGCACTGGAGAGATCAGCTGCAGGGGGGTGGGGGGGGGGAACGAAACGACATGTCTCGGACCACGTTCGCGAACACAAGGCAGATCTGAAACACGGTAGGACCAATACCTCTGCCGTAACTGATCATTGTTTTAACGCAGCGGGCTCACACTAAATTGACTTTTCCAAGACGAAGGTTTTCTGCAAACCCACTGGCTATTATCAGAGATTTGTTCATGAAGCCATCCAGATATTTTAACACGGACACATCTTCAACCGAGAAGATGGGTACAAACTGAGCAATTATTGGAAGGACGCTATTAACCAGGTAAAGTCTTAGCTGACTGTGATGTTTCCATCCTACCTGCCCATGTCAGCTGTTATTTCCGATTCTCTGTGTCTTTCTCTCCCTCTCTCTGTACATCTCTCTCCGATCTCTACTCCAGTGACCCAGGTGCTGCTGCGGGGTCCACTTTCTGCCCTGCCTCCTCCCCTCCCCCTTCTCTCTCCCCCCTTACTGCCGAGTCCTATATTACCTCGTGCCACGGCAGATCTCTCTCCTACTTTAGCAGTTTTTTCTTGCTGTGATTGTCCCACCTGATGACGATTGCTTGTGTTGCGATCGAAACGTCGTGATCTATTTTTCTACCTACGTGACTTTACCGAAAGAACCAAAGAGTATGGATTCCTGCAGTCACGAAAGCTTCAAATCAACATTGAGGGAGTAATATGTTCACGTTTGCGAGGCATTGAGGGGCTATATGTTTAAAGTATGTGGCACCACAATAGGGAACGACATGGATAAGATTCCTGACTCATGATGCTGTTTGAATACCAACAGCGCCACTGAGTGGACAAAGCCCCGGCTCTACAACTTGTGGTTGTGACGTGGAGTATGATCAGCGCAGACACGAGGCTTTCAGCCAAGGCATTTAAGGGGGTTAAGGGTGGTTAAAGGAGTTGAAAGGCAGTTAACGTAGTGAAGGACAGATACAAAAATGGGATGGTGGGGCAGTTAGAGAATGGGCGCTGTGGTGGCAAGATGTTAACTCCCTCGCCTGGTATGCAGGAGGTTGTGGATTTGATTCCGAACCTGACGCCTGCTGTATATTTGAGGTTTTAATGTTCTCTCTACCTGTGGTCGCGTGGATTTTTCTCCAGATCCAATGGGGCTTTCCCTCCATATTTAGAAACATGCGTTTAGAGTATTTAGCTGCTATAAATTTCCTCATCATAAGCCACTTCGTTGAGCTATCATTTGTGGTCAGGTCACTTCTGAAAAAGTTGAGTTAAGCCTGGGGAGGAAGAAAGAGCGGCTGGGTTGTGAGAGTTCGACATGGAGTTGTAGAATAATAAAGTGTCAGTATCTCGGCCTCGCTCTGCGTTGCGTTGCAGAGCTAGCTGATTAGATAACCTCGCGTTTCCAATAAACCCTCAGAGCCAGGGTGAACATCTGACTCCGAACGTCATTTATTGAAATTGAACGGTAGAGAAAGGTAAAACTGGTAAGAAAACAGCACAGATACAGCATCTGTTAATACCCAGAAAACCCAACACAATGAATAAACACCACAGCATCATAACGTTGTCTTATGAATGAGACATTTTGTTATTTCAAGTTTGAATCTACTTACTCGATTACAGGTAAATCACAACAAGGCAAGCTGCAGGCTTTATTGTCAACTAGGCCCCCCATACATCGTAACAATTTAACAGCATTATAAAGGTTCTAGCGTTATAACAGCATTATAAAGGTCCTTCTAATATTATAGCAAAATTGCCAGTATCATAAGAACACAAACGAGCTTACAGACAATGCTTCCAAAAGTCCCACAACGGTGGCTGCAGCTGTCTTCACGGAGCTGCGATGTGTGCCGCCATCTTGAATTATGTTTTTAATGGCCGACGCCCTCGTGGTTCAGCGGAAATCTAAAATCGCAACTTCCTGGTCACGTGACCACCCCCCTATTTAAAAAAAACAGGAAATTCCTGTGTACACACGCCCCACATCTGCCGTGAGGCAAGACACTTGCCGTGAGGCAGAACACTCCCCGTCTGGTATCTAGGAGATACCACCATTTATTTCCTATCTCATAAACAAGTGTATAACAACTTCAACGGGTCAACTTATTTGTCCATATCTTTGCGAGAGAGAAGTAGTACTGTCTCGACTATGGGCCTGAAGAAAGTTCTTGCGACACCTTGCTTCGCAATCATAATCTCGACTTTTCGAACTTTTCCATCGGCACTTGGAATCGACTTGAGGATGCGGCCCATTGGCCACTCATTCCGTTTGGCTTGGTTGTCCTTCAGTAGGACGAGGTCGCCTTCTTGGATGTCTGGTCTGTTAGACT